TGAGGCTGGGCCGCATTGAGTATTCGATAAATAGCTGTTGCACGGGAAAAAAGGAGAGAGAAAGAACAACACGCAACACACTTTCTTAATCTTTAATAACAGTTCAGAACATGAAAATGTATTCAGAACGTAAGTTTAAACTAATACATCTACTCTTCTTCTTTTGCCTACTCCTTGCTGGTTGAAACCTGGCTACGATTCATCTTGTACAGCTGAGAGATATTTGGCTTGCAGGAGGAAGCAGATCCTCAGGATAGATTGAAGATGCTCATCAGTGAGCCTTGACCTGTATGGTGCTTTCACACCAACAGTATTTGGTGCGCACCAAACGATCCATTCGAACCAGAAGTGGTTAGTTTGGTTCGTTTGCGTTGGTGTGAAAGCGTCAATCGGACTCGACCCGAACCAACTCAAGCGGACCGACATCTCAAAAAAGAGGTGGTCTCGGTTCGCTTGAATCCGCACCAAATGACCAACTTTGGTGCGGTTCCTCTGGTGTGAACGCGAACCCGGGTCCAAACCATAGACAGCAGGTCCAAACGAACTATTCTAGATGGGAGAAACGCGTCTCCTGCCTGTAATGACGCGCTGTACGACTCCAGCGCAGTAACAGATTGTTGTCCAGACGCAGACGCGATTCATTTTCGAAATATTTTACCAACAATGGCCAATAAAGAGAATGTAACACACAAAGATCAGAGCAAGAACGTGCGAACGTGTGGCTCCAGAGTGAGTCAAAAATGGAGGTGTGTACTTCTGTGCAGGACCTGCACAGAAGTCCCGGTGTTCCCCGTGATCATGTAGGAACCAGCATTTGTTATTTTAGGCTTTAATTAACCAAATAATTGTATGGCAATACGCAATCGCCCATTCAATTGATTCACCTTTAAAAAATGTCCTGCTTTTAGCCTAGTGTGAGAAATACAGTCGGACTAGATCCAAACCAGAGTCCCGAACCAGCAGGAGCAGCTCCGGTTCTGTCCGGGCTCAGATGACGTGGAGCGGGGAGTGAAAAGCGCTTTCCCGGGAAGAAACCAAATGCGGACACCAACTAAACTGGATTCACGTTCTGTCCGGATGCTTTGCACCACTTCGGAACCAGCCGCGGTTCTTGAGCGCGGAGGACAGGAGCAGCACAGACCTGTAGGTGTAGTCCACAGCGCATTCTCACTTTCCCGCACGGAACACGGAACCAGCGCGCAGACGGCGGAACGTACCCGCTCAGACCCAGTCATTGCGCACTGGTCTTGCTCGCCACCGTCTGGAACCAGCACATGGAGGACAGAGCCTCCGGACCATCTGACCAACACGCTTGTAGGACGACAGAAAACCAAGGACCAGACTCCAGCGCCGTCCTGAACGCTGTTGGCTTCTGCTGTTACCCGAACTCAGAACTGATGCGGTGAGTTTGTAGAAAGTTCTACGTTGCTGTTTTATGAGTTCATGGTGATAAGATGAGGACGACCGCGGTATTAACAGGGAACATCAGTATTGGTTACTGGAGATATCACTGTTCTACCGGGATACAGAGGCTCGTTAATCGGACCAGTTTTGGTTCGTTTGCCGGTGTGAAAGCGGACCATACTGGAGTGTATCCGCTTCTCGTGTGTCAAACACGGATGGAAGACGCTTGTTTTTGCCTCGTACTTTTTGCTAACATGTCGCCAAGCCTCTGGGATAGATCACTGCAGTTTTGTGGTGCTTGCATATTGATGGGACAGCTGTGTTTGCCGCTGAGTGCGCGTGGATTTCGGCGACGCACAGGTGGAGCTTGGTCATCGGGTTGCCAGCAAGTTACGCACCGAGTGTTGAACAGATAAACAGACTTCTTATTACCCCCTCCAATAAAGGTCCCATACTTATGAACAGGGGAATTGCGTCAGCGCCTCCTCTGCGCTCTGATGCTGTGGTTGTGGGAGCGTAAAGTGAAGTGCGCACACGCGTACCACCACGTGTGGTTTGTTTGGTTCTTCGGTGACGCCGTATGTGCACGTGTACTTGTATTAACAGATCCACTTAGACTCGTTGCTTCATAACTGCTGTAAATTGAGTTTTGGGATGTAAACTGCGTTAATAATCTGTTGTGAATCTGTATGGGCACCGATTGCAGGTTCATCTGTCAGTGCGGCCCGCGGTCGGGGGTGGGATTGTGCGTACATCTACCGCGGGCCGCACTGACATTATTCTTTGGAATCAAGTGGAGGGCCGCAAAAAATCCTTCCGCGGGCCGCAGTTGGCCCCCGGCCGCGAGTCTAGTGTATTCCGATTCCTGACCTAGTCAATGGAGAGAAATGAAATTGAGCAGAGGGACTAGGTGGCACCACCTTGGCTTAATATCTACATCATGAAATCGATTTTTTATTTTAATTCTAGAATCAGTCTGAGTTAACAAGTTACGTATTAACAAATTACTTATTACTTCTGTTTTATTCATGATAATAAAGTTAGTTTTGCTCAGGAGTAGTTCACTAATGCTTGTCGTTATTCACATTTATGTTTTCGTCTTTCTTACCTTGATAGTTGTGGATAAATTCTTCATGGACAGAATATGTCCTTTGTCGATCTTGTTGGTTGAAGATTTGGTGATGAGGCAGATTTGGTGAAGCTGGTGGAAAATACACAAGACATTTCCACAGATATTTCGCCGTAGAAAAGCATTCATCCCGCAAAAGTACAGCGGGCGCTTTCGGCTGTTGTGAAAAAGGTCTACAAAAGTAAAACAAATTCTCATTCTCAGTATGTGGACAGGTCATTGGTCAGAATTGTGACCATTCAGATCAGAGAGAGGCATTTTTTCTGTTTAAATCGGTTTAAAACTGGTGACCCAAATGAGACTCAATCTGCTTTCAGATTTGGTCATTTGTCTTGAGACTCAAAACACCAAATTATAACATGAATGACTTCATAAAAATAATAATGAATTACTTTTGTAACATAGTTTATAGCCTTGTCAAAGCCTCTTAAAGCACTACACTGTGACATTATTCATTCACACCATTACTGACGGGGCAAGGCGGTCAATCTGTGCCATCGACCCCTCCAACAACCACCAATCTTTCACACACATTGACTTCTGCAGCCAGTTTCCAAACGTCTGTGCATAAAGGAATCTTAGACAATAGCAAAGTTGATGTGGTCATGTTCATATTTCCATGACTTTAATGTTCAGACCACAGAATCAGTACATGACTTTGGTGAAATGTCTGTTGTTAATCTGTAGTTTGTGGTGTGGTTGGATAAATATAGCAGCGTAATGGACTTCACCGCTCATATAAATGATCAGTTCAACAATTGGGGATTTTCCTTTTGGAGATTTCTTATAAAAATATCACAAAATCAATAGTTAAATGGCACCTATTACGTCTATAATGTTTGCCTATTTAGACCCTACCCAAAATTAAAGGGACAGTAAGTAAGACTGACAAATATTGTTTCTACTGGTAACAATCCATATGCACGTATGCAAATCCTTATGCATACTTAAAGGAGGAACTGTATTTAAGATTTTGATTTGAATTCCACAAACTTGACCTAACTGTGTCCCCTGATTTGAGATAGATCAGTTCAAATCAAGTATGGCTTTTACTGATAACAACTCTAATGCTGATTTATTCCAAATGATAAAAACATTAGACATGATGCCAAGATGTTTATGTTATAATTTGGTGTTTTGGTTCAAGACAATTATCCAATCAGAAAGCAGAATGAGCCCCTCATTTCTCATTTGGGTTGCCAGTTTCGATGTTAAAATGTAGTTTTAAAAGCACTAACTCTGATAATAATATAAACTGCTACGGTATTGTTTTGCCTGAAATGTTAAACTTACTGCCAACTTATAAACAAGCAGTCGACGCTACCAGACCAAGTAACAGGTCCAATCTGTGGGGAGAGAACCATGCATGTAGCAAAAATATGTTTTTCTACGTGAATTTGAGCAATAACAACTCGAGTAAATGAATAGTCACATTTTTATACAACATTTTTCAACCTTCAAGGCATTCAAAGCACTTCACATCCAGTGTTGGGAAGGTGACTTTTAAAATGTATTCCCTTACAGATTACAGATTAAATATCCCAAAATGTAGTTTGTAACGTAATACATTAAATTACTCAAAGTAAGTAACGTAATCTGAATACTTTGGATTACATGATTTGCTGTAGAGAAGCAAAGATGAGGATATCGTCACATGAGATGTTTTGTCTGCTAAAAGAAAATGAAAAGCCCAGTTTTTACTTAACCAAATTAAACATATTATTGATAGAAGAGGAGACAAGGTCCGTGCAGCATGGTTTAGTCCTGTTAAATCCTGTTTTAGTCTTGGTTTAGTCCTGGTTTAGACCTGGTTTTATTCCTGCTTTTAGTCTGGGTTTAGACCTAGTTTAGACCTGGTTTTAGACCTGGTTTAGACCTGGTTTAGACCAGGTTTAGAACTGGTTTGGTTTGGGAATAGCCCAAAATGTGAAAACAGGAAAATACCACCGTGTAATCCATTTATTTTAACAAAGTAACTGTAATCCAATTACCACTCATTGAAACAGTAACTGTAACTGAATACAGTTACCCATAATTTGTACTCTGATTACATGTAATCTGTTACTCCCCAACACTGTTCACATCAAGAAACCACTCACCCATTCACACACACATTCATACACCAGTGTATGCAGACATTATGGGCAAAGTGGGTTAAGCTTTCATCTGCAGAAGCTGAAATCGTACCGCCAACTTGTGGGTCAGTGGATTTCACCAATGATGTTTTTGTCAAAAGCGGGATTCAAACAAACAACCAGCCTTCTGATCAGTGGACAAACTCTCTACCAACTGAGCTACTATCGCCCTGAATCCATGATAAATATGTTTAATGCCATATTGTGAAACATACCAAGAAAACCAATAACCCATCCATGCAGATAAGCAGGTGATGCCCCTGCACCAGTAAAGTTACGTAGTGCAACTTTAACATCACTTCTATTTAAATAAAGAACATAGAAACACAATGTAAAAGAAAACATGAGGTTTATTCATCACAACATTGACACAGGTTTCCCTTTTGTTCTGCTCATGAGCGAGCAACAAAACCATCACACCATAAATACAAACTAGAATAAATAACATAACAATTCATCTTTTGCACTCACCCAAATTAAATTCAACGAGCAGGTTTAGTCATGTTACAGTAAAAAACAGAAAACAGTATTCAAAACAAAACGTGTGCAAATCAGAGAAAGAGGAGTGAGGAGGTTATGGCACATTCACAAGTCACTCAAATGTGACCAGGTTTAGAAATGACGAAAGGACAACATGATGAATTATGTTCAACAATTGTAAATAATAAAAAAAAACAGTACAAAATATAATTACAATAGAGAAATACATGTGCAGTAGTACTTCCTTCACTGTTTAACTTCCTTTAAATGAAAATGGATGGACAAAGTTGGAGACAAGTGGAGGTGGTTCAGCGTATTCAGAATCATTACCACTGGACTGAAAAACATGATTCAAGAGTCAAAAGTCACTGCATTCTCAAACTCAAATCTCAAATAACGTTGGAACTGCAAACAGAGCGAACGGCACTTCGTTCAGCGATTTTCATTTCAGAGGTTGGTATCTTGGTCATGATGTTATGGTTCCATTTTGTGTTTGCAGATCAGAACTTATTCACTAAATAAATTGGATACATTTATTTAGGTGACCAATTTTGCTTAAAGGTGCACTGCTTAACTTGTCTAGGGAATGTTCTGCTCCTGGAATAGACTTGATACTCAATGCAGATTCTGATAACATGGTGATAATGAAAAACAATGGTACTTTCTTTTCTATTCCCATGTGGTCCTAATCCTTCAGTGGTCCACGGGTGTATACTAGTCTATGTGCTCTTACACTTGTTCTGATACAGCTCTAGATCATTCTAAAGCTATTCTGGGAAGGTTAATTTCTGTCCTGTGAATGGGACTTTTGTAGTATCGATACTTGTTCAAATGACTATCTGATTTTCGATACTTTTGACAACCTTACTGTATGGCACTACATTGTTCTATATCAAAGACAAACCGCTGATGCCACCAGGCTAAGTTACAGTTACAGGTAGAGAGTCTGTTCACAGCTAGAACGTCTTTTGTCAATAAAAACACATGTATTTAAATGAATGGCAGATGGATACGCTTAATGCCATACTGTGGAACATTCTAAGGAGGGATAACAGTTCCGTAGAAGCAGGTTGTCAATAGCCTGATTCATCAACTGGTTTCACTTCGTGGACCTCGCAGCATTAGGATTCGTTCGCTTGATGTGTGGGTACTTTTTATTTAACCAATTGCTGCTATTTGGTTGTGATGTACGTAATGTGCCGGAACACTCAGTGGTGTCCAAGTAATTGCCAGCACAACAGGAAACAAAGCAGAGAGTGAACATGTCTGTCAACGATCATTGTCGTTTCTGCGAGATGAACTTGCGAATTTAAAGGTTTGTCAAAAGTTTATATTTGACAAAGGAAGTCCAAAGGAGGATGATGTATGCAGTCTGCTATTGCAACTTGGGTTGGTTCAGCTCTTTGCTGACTGGCCGATGTGCAGTCTACAACTTTCGGGGTTCTTGCAAACAGTTTAGTGTATTCTGATTCCTGACCTAGTCGCTGGAGAGAAATGAAATTGAGTGGAGACACTACGTTGTCAATAACCTTGTGTTAGGAAGATGAATTCTCACGATATTAGTGAATTCATAAACTCACAGGAATCCATTGTTGCACAGAAATAACATCTCCATGCAGACAAGGTAGTGGACCCTGCGCCAGAAAAGTTACATAGTGCACCTTTAAATCGTTTGAGAAGTTGATTAAAAATACTGTTTGTAGATCAACTTTATAAACTGCCTGCCCAAACAGCTACAATGTCCACACTGTTGGACTATATTTGCTTCCCTTTCTGTTGACTGGACACTGGTCGCTGTGGATATTTTAAGTTATGGCTTTCGTTTTACAGTGACTCATGGAGTTTGACCACAGACGACACAATGCATTCTCCAGTGGACGAGGACTGACCGAGAGCTGACCAGGAGTCCAACGTTACAAATAACTTGCACTCCTTTGCGGTCAACATAATCCTAAAAATACGACAGACTGTCTATTCGGGGCAACAAGAGAACACAGATATAGCCAGAGTCATTTTAAATTAAACCTTTGTACCACCAGCCTCCGCCATGTTGTAGTCGGAGTGACGCATAAGCAAATAGTCAAACCTGTAAACTTAGTCATTTAGAGACAGTTTTAGAGCAGAATGAGTCAAGTCTCTAGTGATTTTTTAGCAATATGACTCAAAATAATCACTTTCTTCCAGTAATTTCCCTTCATTGAACTTTAGAGTGGGCGATATGACAAAAAAGAAAAGGATTTTTTAAAACCTAGGTCACTGTAATTTCAAATATAATCATTAGGGATGCAGCGATCCAGCTTTTTCAGTTATGATACCGTTACTGATACTTTGATTTAAGTATCTGCCGCTATCCGATATTACCCGATACCAGAGTAGGGACAGAAAATGACACTTATTTCCTTACATTACAGTAATTTATTACACAAGAAATCAAATTGTGCTACGCATCTGTTATTTATCCTCCAAATTAGAGATCGATCATGTTTTTTTTTTTTTTTTTTTTATGACTGATGTAGACTGACTAGAATTCAGAGCAACCCATGGCCAATAAGATATGCAAATATTTTTAAGCTGATACTTCTACTTATACTGGCTTGATACCAAGGGCTGATTTAGATTATTTTCCCCAATTTATGCAATTTAAATTGACTACAAACTCACCCTCTGCCTTTTCATGACCACAAAACTATAAGAGAGCTGTGCTGAGTTTTCTCAATTTGCAGTTAAGTGTGAAATTAATAAAGCTGTGTACTCTTTGTGTGTCAGCCAAAACTGAATGTCGGCCTGTGCTGAAGATTTAAAGTGCAAGTGCAAATATCGACCTAATATATAAATATTTTAAAACATTACGAGATATTCCAGGGCAGGGGTCTCCAACCTGTATTTCAGGAGTGACCGGTAGCTCTCCACCCCCTTCCAAGTAGCTCGCCAAGGAATCTTTGAATTACACGTATTGTGCTGAATAAGTAAAATCTAATGAATTAAATGCCGATTACCACTGTACATGTATCATTTATAAATAGATAATGGTTTATGTTTTATAGGCATCTAACTGTACCTCATCTAAAGCTTGCCAAGGCTCTTAAACTCAGTTTTTTGTGACTGTTAAAACTAGTAGGTCTCTGTCATTTTTATGTTGTAAAGGCAACTCACTGGAGAAAAAAGGTTGGAGACCCCTGTTCTAGGGCCTAAATCACCCTGTAAATAGTCATATTACATCCAATTAAAGGTCAAAGCAGGATATCGGCTTAACTAATATGTTGAAACTAGGGGAGTAACGATAACGACACAGTATAAACCTCACGGTACGATATTTATTGCGATATCGTGGGAAAAGCTCACGATATGGTGGGGAGGCTCACGATTAGGGATGTAACAATATCCAAATCTCTTACGATATTTACGTAATATTTTCACAATATACATCTCACGGTACGATATTTATTGCGATATTTTGTGGAGGCTAACAAAACTGTTAATATGCTACTTTTTCCTCTTAAATGCCTTGACAAGACTTAATCCAAAGAACTAAGACTTAAAAGTGCTTAACTGTTATTTCTTTTTGTAGTCTGCACTGAAATGCAGCAAAGGATCATGGTCTATGTAGTTCCCTCTGTCTTTTGTTACTCTTAATTTAAGCAAAGAGACTTCGATATATTGTGATGGTCCATGATATTATTATTAGAACTTTGACGATACGATATCACGATATTTCGTTACCAGATCTTTCGAAGTTTTTCAATATGAGTGCTGATATTCGATACCAGTACGGTGCATCTCTAATAATCATGATACTTGGATATGTAATCGCTTTGCCTCTCATTTAAGGTGTAAAAATGCAATCTTTTTTACTGTAGGAGTTTATACTTCACTGGGATTGGTCAACTCCACCTGTCACTCACAAGGTAGACATGTGGAGATTATGTCAAAAATATGGGTTAAGGATTTTCACTGTTGTTCAATAACTGTGAATAAACGTAAACATAAGAAGTGGTTTATAGTGTCATATCGCCCACCCCTAATATAAACTTTTTTCATTTAAATCCTTCACAAAGGTTAGCATCATTATTGATCATTTTCAAACAAGAATCATCACATTTTAATAAAATATTTCAAACTTAATGCTGCATTGGCTGTCAGAAAAGCGAGTCTTATTTCCCTTATATTGTTCTCTGCAGTTTGCACCTCGTTTCTGCAGGATTCACTCCGGTTCATTAGCATACTGCACGCAAACCAATACATTAAAGGGCATTTCGGTCCATGCACGCTCCCAAGACAACATAAAAATCCCATATTATGCTTTTTCAAAATCTTCTTTAATGCATTTAAACTCTCTTTTTTATGTTTTATACGTGAAAATAATTGAAATGTATGGACAGTGTGATGTTTTGAGAACATAATTACGTGATAAGCTTAATTCAAGATGATTTTGCATAATATGGGACCAGACAGAGACATGTTATTGTACTGTAGTGTTTCTGAACTGCAGTCGAAGTAGCAGTAGTAGTAAGAGCAGTAGTTGCAGAAGTAGTAGTAGTAGTCAAGTTGTTGTGGTTTTAGCAGTACCAGAAGTAGTAGTAGTAGTAGTAGTAGTAGTAGTAGTATGAGGAGATGGGTGGGGAGAAGCATCGGTGTGATACTTGAGGACAGAGAGGAGAAGTAGTAGTAATAGCAGTAGTCGTTAGTTATGTTTTAATGGGAGATCATTATAACATGCTTAATAGGCCAATTAAAGTGGAACTTAAAGTGTAATCTTTCTGTGTTGCTGTGGTAATAATACTGGTAGAAGTAGTAGTCATACTACTATGAGGAGAATAATTAGAAGTGCTATGAGTTTGGAGTAGCTGGGTGGAGAGAAGCACCACCGTAGGATGTAGAGGTCTAGGGACAGTAGTAGTAGTAACAGTAGTTACAGTAATAGTGACAGTCGTAGTGGTAGCAGAAGTGTAGGGTCGGGTCAGTAGTAGTAGCAGTAGTACTAGTTGTAGTAATAGTAGTAATTGGTAATAGCAGTGGTAGTACCAGTAGTAAGTAATACCAGTAGTAGTAGCAGTGGTAAATAAATACTTGAGGATGTAGAGGTGTAGTGGTAGCAGTATTAGTAGCAGTAGTAGTAGCAGTAGTAGTACCAGTAGTAGTAGTAATAGCAGTAGTATTAGCAGTAATAGTTGCAGTAGTAGTAGCAGTGGTAGTAGTAGTACTATGAGGTGAGTTTGGAGTAGCTGGGAGGGGAGAAGCGTCGCCGTAGATACTTGAGGATGTAGAGCGGTAAACAGCTGACCAGAGTGATCACTGTCACCTTCCAAAAGAACGACACTGTGGTGATGAAGTACACGTCTGCAATGGAAACAAAAGAGGAAGAAATATGTCTTTCATTCTTCAGCTGAGATTCACAGAAATTCAGTTACATTTAATACGAACTTGTACTCAAAGTACTACACTACACTGTGATTATTCATTAACTCCACACTCAATGGGGGTAAGATCCTGTTGTGGCCACAGCTGCCCTGGGTCAGACTGATGGAAGTGGGGCTGCCAATCAGTACTATCGATCCCTCCGACCAACACTCACGCCGCATGCATACTAGGCAATGTGGGTGACATGTCTTGCCTAAGGACAGAACAGAGCGGTCAGAGTGGGATTCAGTCCAACCTTTGGACCCTGTTGCCCACACTTGTAACTCTAAAAACTATAATAAGGCTTTGACTTTTACAACATCAACTTGTGAGTTAATTAAGTGGGGCTTAGACCCATTGTTTTGGTGCAGTGGTAAAAAGCAGAGTGAACCAATATAAAACATAATTTATTTTTCAGAGTTTTAGAGCAGCTCAGAAACAGAATTTACTCTTGAGCAGCAGAAGGTCATCGAGGTGACACCACCAAATATATAAATGCAATTTAGCATAAATAGTGTTTGATTTTCAACAAAAAGGTGAGAGTGACTAAAACTCTTAAGTAATGCTAACTGTAATTTTATGTGTAGCTCCAGTGAGTCAGTTCTTTCTGGTCAGATTGTGTTAAAATAAAGCTCAGATTAAAATCTAATAGAGCCTCTGACAGAGCAGTGCCTTAAATTAGCATCACAGCCCCAGGGAATGTTGATGACATCAGTTGCGGAGTATCAATAACTGACAATTTCTGCACCATCAATCCAATATTCACACACCACATTCATACTTCAGTGAGGTGGGTGAAGTGTCTTGCCCGACGACACAATATCAGTATGCACTGGTTGTACCACTGACTTTACATAGCATAATGTTTACCATAGTTTCCTCCTGTTTACACCAACTTGTTTGTACGGAATACCCACAGCCTTTTACAAGCATCTAAACTGAATCCCCTGCTAATCCCTTTATAGAACACAACTTGAACACAAAACTCAAAATGAACCGCACAACTTTTTCAAAATGGCCCAAAACGTCAGAGAAATGCCCTTAAATCTATTCTGGTGGAACACTGGGGGAAAAGTGCTGGGGAGGCTTCCACTTGACCACATGCAGTCACACTCCACGCCCAACTTAAAGATACAGGCACAGGGAGGGCAGGCTCTGGACTACTGGGCTTTTCTGTGACACAAGTCTTAAAAAGATAAATAAAGTTACAAAACCTGGCAACACTCAGCTCACAACAAGATGGCTTACTTGAATGTAGTTATGTCATTGTTGGGTTTCAGATGACCAAAGTACAGGGGCAAGTGAATTCATATTGATGAGGTGCAGGTTTTGATATCTGATTGGGTAAATGTGAATGTGATATGATAAATAAATAATGCTCAGTAACTGTGGATTTTGGAAGTACATACAGTATATCTTTTGAAAATATACAAAATCTAAGGAACAATTTAGAACTACACTTTTAATTGATTCGAGCGTGGTAACTACTTAATTGGAAGTGTACCTTAACCATAACCTTTCCTGATGGTTTTCACATTCTAGAAAGTGGTGATTTCACTTGAAAAAACTTGAAAATGGCTTTTTAACACAAATCTTGTCATTCACAATACATACTCAGTCATATTGAGTGAGATCATATTAGCCAATAAATCTACACTGGTCAAAACAACCAAACAGGTTGATCTGAAAAGAAATTATTTAAACTTTTTACAGTGCATTAAACAATTTGAGAATTGTCTGTTCTTGTTTCATAGAATGTGAGGAAACACCAGGATTTTGGTACAAATAAACCTATAAAATGTTTGAGGAAGCAGACCGGACACTTGGCATTTCCTCTTGAATCTGATGGTACATCCAAACCAGGACAGAGAGTCACCGCTCTGGCCTTTATCCTTCCTACTGTCGCATTATTGTACCCAAGAGGCCTCAGGGATACAGGGGACCTCACTGTGGTACAGTGACATGCAAGGCCAAGGACAAACTCAAAACAAAACATTCATCACCAAGATTTTTATTATAATATTTTATATAATAATATTTGATCGGTCTACCCAAGCCAGGCGAGGTTATAGCAGGAGTTTACCATCACCCAGTGTGTTGTGAATACATAATGACTACAGTGTAGCACGCTGAGATGATTCAACAAGCCTGTAATGTGCATTATATCTTTATCATTTTTACTACTTGGTACAGACCTGTTTGTCTGGCTGAGACCAGGTTTAAACCTAGTTTTGTCAAGTTTGCTTCAAGCATTTGAGTTGATCCACCTCATACAGGAGGCAGCCACGTTGAGTAATTTTGTTTTAGCTCTGATTTAGACTTAGTTTAATCTCTTTTGTGTTTTGACTAACCTAACAATCATGTAGGAACATGAAAGATGTGTGTAGGAGGTCAGGCTTAGGGGATTCATTTTGGTCCACGTTAGTCCTGGTTTAGTCATGCTTAGGACTTGGTTAAGGCCTGGTTTAGTCTTTGTTTATTTTATGCATAAGTGCTGACTCACCTATAAACTCATGCAGAAACACGAGGGATGCAATGTAGCAGGCCAGACTGAGCAGCTCCCCCACGATCATGAGCCAGTGCCAGGTCTGGATGGTGAGCGCCACCATGAGGAGTTCTGTGAGAATGAGCGACGTGAACGAGATCGCTACAATGTGAACGAACTCAGAGTCAAACAGGACCAGCGCTCCATACATCAGGATACTGCCTACAGGACACAAGGAAGACACACACATTATAATACAACTGCAACATTAATCATGATCCAATCCAAGTCGCAATTTGAAGGGACACAATTAGCAAACGGCAAAGTCTAAGATTTTAAACAACAAAATCTCCTCTTATTCTGCATAAAACGGTTAAGCCATGTTCTGAAATGTGATTCTTGTATTAGTTTGTCAGTTCATATTTCAGTCTTTTTTGTCAGAGTCTGAACTCTGCTCCAAACCACACGTTTTTACTGACAGGGGATTGGCTGCAGACCTTTCCTTTAAAAAGACCCAAGTTGACCATTGACCATTATGAACTGCCCAGTCCTAATTCAAATGTTATTTATATAGTGGGATTGAAAGAGACATCGCAATTGAATTAGGCGTGACTTCTGGAGAGAAATGTATGTGATTCTTGAATTAGTTTAGCAGTTCATATTTCAGTCTTCTCTCAAATGCCACAACTCTTGGATGTGCTTAAAATATGAATAAGAGATTAGAGATATAGATAGATATACGTATAGAATAGATTTTTTTTTCCCTTTAATTAAGATTCAGGTACAATTTCTTATTTGCATTTGACCCATCCTTCTGTTTTTTTTTGCACAGCTCTATAAGTGAATTCAGTCTTGAGCGTGTTAAGTTTTCCTTGTAGGGAAATGCTTCCACTAAATTTGACTTGAAACCAGTGAGGCTTGGAGCTATGCATCAGAAGAGACGCAATCACCCTTCACTGGTGCCAGCACTTTGGTTAGGAGTGCCAGTGTGGGGATTATGCGACTCTGCATGTTTTTAGCTTATTTAAAAATGCATGATTCCTTTATTCCACTACAGACTAAATATAGTCACTTATAGCCCTTGTATGTGCCTGTTTTCAATCACTCCAACAATACAACACCCACGTCAACAGAAGCAGAGGAAAACCCTTTTACGAAAGCTGTGTCAATAAACCCGACACATGTGCAGACCAGGCCCTGCTCTGCAAAAACAGTAGTGAGTAGTAAGATTTGATCCACAATTTAAAAAGTCCATTCATGTTTGGACAGAAATAGATAAAAGGTTTCGGGGTGTGGTAGGATTCCCCCGTAGATGTATTCAAGGCAAACGGAGCGTGGATTAAAGGCCCGGCCGTAAATAACCCACAGAAAACGTGCATAGGATGAGAAAGATTAATTGTACACAAAGAGGTTTCCATCACAGTTCTATCATAGGGTTCCCCTCAGACTTACCTTGGTAAATACTGATTAAGACCCATATTAGGAATGTCTTGTAGGACAGCGGTCGGCCCTTCAAAAAAAAACATAACACAACATATTGGATTATATTATACAGCTGAATGTGAAACATGTTGAACAGTGGATTCAGAAGGTTTTCAGGAAAGTGGGCGGGTACTACAGGGCCTTTTTGAAAATGTTGTTTTTGTTCGTGTTATTGCAAAACTTTCTAACTTTCTGTTTTGAATTTTGCCATCCATTGGTTTCAGAGTGATAAATAATTTGGACCATTACTATAGAAATTCAAATAGTACATCTTTTGAAAAGTCCTTAAAATGGTGCCTAATGATGAACAAGACTAGTTTTTTCTTATTCATATTTTCCAAAACTTTTTCAAACTTTTAAAAAATTTTTCCTATCCATTAGTTTCAGTGTGGAAAAAATGCTTCATTGCCGTAAGCAATTCATATGATATCCTTTGAACTGTGAAAAGTCCTCATTATGGTGCATAATAACAGGAAAATTAACATCTTTTAGAAGTGAGTTTTGCAATAATAGTTAAACCAATGAGTTTTTGAATGTCTAATGTTTTAATCCATTTTACACAACTGCCAAGATAATTAAACACATGCTAAGGTTTACTTAAAATGTACCTTGAGGAGATCTTTGTATAATTCTGGATACAACATGGCAACCTCAGACTTGACATCTTTATCTAGAACCAGAGAAAACACAGGAAACATGGTGTAGATGGTGGAATACCTGAAAAACAAAGGCAAGACATATCAATGACGTTTTATGCTTAAAGGTTGTATAGAGGATTTTTTAAGGGAAAAGAAATACAGCGACAGTCCTTTTTCAAATGTTGTGCATGCATGACACCACCTTCCTCTTACACCGCTGCCTCAGTAGAAACATCTCCTCCCGCCTCCTTACTCTAGAAATCACGCTTGTTTACAGCCAGTGCGTGTTCAGAATTATTGTTGAAGTGACCTGTCTAGAAATAATTTAGCGACCGACACGTCAGTTTTTAGACCCTTTGTGTGCTTCATTCACGCAATCGCTGGAAGAAATCTCCAAGAATCACCTCAGTTTGGCTTTGCTCCTTTTCCCCTTCTCTTCTTCTTTCAGAAACCAAAAAACTGACTTTCTTTTGCGGCAAACTGGTCGTGGATTCTCGTCCACCATCGCAACAAACTTTGTGCAAACTGCGAGGAAGCTACAGTTTGAAAAAGCCTCTAAGAAGCACTGCATAAACCACATAATCCCCGCGCGCCGGCGAGTCAGTTACACTAGAAATGTAAGGAATTTGATTGACAACCGAACAGCCAATAGAAAATGAGGTAGGCTTGTTATCTATTGGCTGATGTTTATCTGGCCTCACTACGTCCACAGTTGATAGATTTTCATTCTTTTTTATTTTTTGGTCATCATATTTACAAGGCTGCTGCATGTCTGTAATGGTATTTTAAACTTTCATTAACAATTTGAAAAAAAAATAAAAATCCTCCATACAACTTTTAAATTTTGTATTTTGGTCAAGTCACTTATCCAATCAGAAAGCAGAATTAGCTCCTAACATTAGGCTGCCAGATTCTACAACTAAAACCAGATGGAAGTTAACCCAAATGTGTCCTCAGTGTATATATGTTAAATGTCACTATTCTGATGGACGGTACATCACCTGCTTGTCTCCATGGTTATGTTATTGTTTTGCCCTTAATGTTCCACAGTATGGCACTGATTAAACATATCTTCATAGAGACAAGCGTCATAGGTCAGATTTCTGTGGTGTGTGAGTGCTGGTGGTCGTCAGAGGGGCTGATGCCGTTGATTGGCAGCCTCACTCGTCACTCTGCCCCAGGACAGCAGCTAAAATAGTATCTTCCTACCCCCAATTGTATATTGTCTGATTAATGTACTAAATTGTAAAGGGACTTTGAGCACCTGGAAAAGCGTGATATTAGACTAACGCATTATTATAGCTCTGTGGAAAAGCTATCACACTAACAGGAAGAATACGTGTTTTTCAAGGTATTTTTAGCAAGAAAAACAGTCATAAAAACTGCAATGGAATAAATGCAAGATACACACTTAATGCCATACTGTGGAAAACTCCAGTCAAAGCAATAAAACCTCCATGGATAAAAGCAGAGGCGGCAGACCCTCGATGAGAAAAGTTGCATAGGTCACATTTAATATTTGGATAAGTTCATAAAGTAAATGATTGACTCTACAATGCTTTTGCGGTTATAGGATTAGAGTCATAAAATCTCTGATATTGTAAATAGCAGCATTTTAACAGCACTATATCACAAATGTGTCATTATAAAAGGCCTATGCGTGGATAGGGCAAAGTTACGTAGTTCACACATTTCTTTGTTAACTGTGGTGGGAATGGGATTAGGCCCCTGGTTAATAGTTCATATTTTCCCCTTTCTAATATTTCAGCGAGGCTTTAACTGAGAGGAAATGCCAACGCAGCCACATGCTCGGTTCATAAGTCATCCTCACCCGATAATCAGGAATCCCTGGTACAGCGGCACAGAGGCGAAGTAGAACACAGAAGAGAACACCGTCTGTGGAAAAAAGTCACAATGTGTTTACTTCAAGGACCTGTGGCTGATTTTTAAAACGTGAAAAACAGAAGTAGCAGTAGTCCAAAGTTATTCCTCACTTAGATTATGCATTCCGAGCATCCAAATTATTCACCACAATGACTTTACAAGCGCTTTTCATGACTCATAAATTTGTTTTAAATACATGGGCAAAAACTGGTTATAGGCCCTTTTAGAGGCCGAGTATGTGGAATTTTTATATAACATTTCATAAACATGACCTAACTGTGTCCTCAGATATGATGTAAACATGTTTAAATCAGATATAGCTTTATTGTTATTGAATTATAACAAGTATAATACTGATTTATTCTTAGCTACAAAAACATTGGACATGGTCGGGCTGTTCATATTACTTGGTTGTTTTGGTTCTCAAGATGACTATCCAATCAGAAATCAGAATGAGCTCCAATTTGGGTTGCCAGTTTCAGTGCTGAAATCCAGTTGGTCTGAACCTATAACTTCCATCACTGATCTGAATGGTCACTACCTAAACTCCAGCACAGCAGCCAGTTATGAATCAGTGCTAGTGCAGCCACTGCAGCTCAGTGAGACAATTCTGGAAGTTCTGAGCTTTGACATGAGGCCTGGTCTGCTCATATACTGAGAATGAAAAAAAAACAAACTTGGATGTATCTTATCTGCAGGTTAAGGCGCTGGCAACACAGGTTCAGTTGTGATTGTACTTGCTTTTTTATACCATTAAGAGCAAAAGCTACATACCCCTAGCCAGGTTGGTGCCACCTAGTGGCTCAATTTCATTTCTCTCCAGCGACTAGGTCAGGAATCAGAATACACTAGATGGTTCGCAAAAAAGGAAAAAAAAAAGTGCAAGTTCGGGCACGAGCCAATCAGTGAAGAGTCATATATTCAGTGTTCTCAATGATTCCCGAGACTGAGGATCTAAAGCCAGAATAAAGAGAATGTTTAGTGAATTTCATCAAGGGGAAAGACGTTATTGCCCTTCTTATTATGGGATTTGGGAAAAGCTTAGTATACCAGTCGGCCCCGTTAGAGGTGCATTACATACTTGACTCCCAAATAGCAGTGATTGGTTAAATGATAAAAAGTATCCGCCTACCATCGAGCAAACAAATTCTAACACTGCGAGGTCAGACGGAAGAGAAAGTGGCTGATGAATCAGGCTAACATACCCTACCTTCAAAAATGTAAAGGTGACTTTCCAACCACTCAACAGACAAAATGTAGAACTATATTTGCACAACTGACTTTTTCAAGTAAATAGTCCTAAAAACCCAGACTCCACAAAAATACAACACATAATTTTAGTCAATAATTCCACGACTCACGATAAATAGACTGAAAACTGAAATTGTGCTACAGCAGCGTCTGCGTTTCTAAATCAGAATCACAGATCCAGACACAGGAGATGTTATGGTTTTGTTGTAGTGAGTCACAGGCTTCCCCTGCCCTCTTCCCCTGAGGACGAGTTTGGACCGGGACATGGGAACAAGACAGAGGAGGGAAGGAGGGAGGGAAAGGGAGGGAAGGAGGGAGGGAGAGAGAGAAAGTCAGAGGGAGAGAAAAGAGAAGAAGACAGGGGGTGAGGAGAAGGGAAAGGAGAGAGGAGATAGAAAAGGTGAGTGGAGAAGAAGGAGAGAGATAGTTGGAGAGGGAGAGAGATGAGAGGGGGAGAGAGGCAGAGAGAAAAGAGGTACACAGAGGAGGGAGGCAAGGGAAAGAGAGAGGGAGAGAAAGACTGGGAAGAGATTGAAGGAAGGGGGTACATGGCAAAGTGGAATAGAGGGTGAAAGGGGGTAGATGAAGGGGAGAGTAAAAGATAGACAAAGATAGAGAGAGAAAGAATAAATGTGGAGTGCGGAGGAGGGAGAGAAAAGCAAGCAAATCCAAACTTCTGAGTCACTAAACAGGGAATCACCCCCTCAACTGTCCAATAACAATACCAGTCTGTCTACAGAACAACAGACTGAAATGACAGAAACAGATGGTGTGTGGGCAGGGTCACAGTCAAGTTACAATGAGTTTACCCTACAATTACAAATAAAAAATAGATGCATCGACTGTGTAACTGATTTTTACTGCCATAAAAACATCAAAAACAGAGCTAGTTCTTTGTAAACAGTTTGCAGTGATCCAAAGTTATTCCTCAGTTACGTTATGCATTCAGAGCATCCTAAGATGAGTTCATAAGTGCATTTCACAACTTTTAGAGACCAGTGAGAACTTTTGCCACCATGGTAAAGCTAACAGCAACTAGCATGCTAAGGCACACTTCCTGATTGTCATAGGTAAAAATGGTTTATAGTTAGATGCAGACCACACACAGTGTGAATATTTTACCTCAAAAGCTGCTTATACAATCTAACTGTACAGGGGCGATGCAAATTTTGATCAAATACAGTCGTCCCTCACAATAATGCAGTTCACCTTTTGCAGCCTGTCTGTTTCATGGAGTTTTTATTTGGTACAATTTAGCATGTGAACGAACATTGTGTTCCTCCCCCTGTGTCCTGATTGGCTAAGGGACTGTAGAATATTGTCAATCAGTCTCCTCCGTGCTGTGTCTCATGTACAGTACAGAATGGGTTCAGTCAAATTTACATAAATGTTCCATCTCTCGCAGTGTGATTCCGAAGTGCTGTATGTTTGCAAGTTTTCTCCCGGACAAAACGTTCTGCACCGACAAAGGCAGAGGAAGCAAACCATCGCACAAAAAGTTGGACTTCTGGACTGTAGGGCGCCATTATGGAATAAATTAATCTTCGGTTCATTACATAAAGAAGGAGGAAAATAACAGGAGGAAAATAACATAGGAACGACAGCAGCAATTAAGAAGGATGCAAAAAAGGTTGTAACTGTCCTGTCTGAGAAAAGTGTATAAAGTGTGTGGTGAGGGGTTTTACAGAAATAAAATATATATAATAATAAATCTGACTACTTCGCGGATTTCGCCTATTGAGGGTTATTTTTAGAACGTAACCCCCGCGAGAAATGAGGGACCACTGTACATGGTAAAAATCAGGTAGAGGGCTTTTAAAGGGATGAAATACACAGTAGATTAGAACCAGAAATATTTATAGTGAGTGCAGTAAAAATATAATGAGGGATAAAAGAGCTTATGATGGATTTTTGATTGTAATTATCCATAGTTAAACTTCTGTGGTAGTTACCTGCATGGTGCTGATGCAGAGGCTGCGGTGGATCACAAACTGACTGAGAGCGGCTGATCTCTTGTAGCTGTTGCGTCCGTGGACCATTAGGAGGCGCCCCAAATGTTTGAACTGAGTCACAGAGAAGTCTGCAGCCAGAGACGCCTGCTTACCCTCCTGTTACACAGACACCGCACAGAAAGACAGGCATGAGAAAAATGAGCAATTAGTAAATCACAAAAGCCTTAATAAGTAGCATAATTTCAACAGAACAACATATCCAGTCTTACAGGAAAGGTGCTAACCCTGTAATTTAGATCTGTGCAAACATGTTCTGAAATGTGATTCTTGGATTAGTTTCAGTAGTCAGTTCAGATGTCAGTCTTTAAGTCAGTTCTTCTGGATGTGTTTAAAATGTGAACTTTGAGCCCATTATTGAAAGATAAATACAACCACACAACCACAATGCTTGTCTGGAAAATCTCAATTCGATATTTTTCTCAAATGGTGCAGCCCTACACTGTAGACTGAATCCTGCACAAATGTAATAACTGTAAAATTAAAGTGCCTATGATAAGTTACACTACTTATAAAAAACCTATCTAATGTACACAAAGATTATTATTTGACAGGAAAGGGACAAGATCTCGAGCCACAAGATCTCGCGAGACAAAATTGCCAAAAGATTGTACAAACATGTTGAAAATGATCTCGTAAGATTTTTTTTCCTCATATTTTTTATTTGCATCGGATAAAAGCGAGGTTAACTTTGCAGAGTAAGTCCTCTTATGAAGCTCTAATCCTAAAAAGCAGTGCTACAATGACAGCAAAACTATAAAATGAAATAAATAAAAAATGTGCGAATTGAATGGCACAATTCATTTATTAAAAATTATATCAAAATCGTGCGTCATGTCTGGTCTTGTAGAAATTGTGTCTTGTCCCATCCCTATTTCCTAACAAAAAAATATAAGAAAAGACCTTTATTTTGTTGAAATCATGTTTAAAGTATTGAGAAAAAATGTGCTTATCATGTATAAATTGTCTAACTTTTGGGTAGAATTCTCTCTTGTCTGATGTCATTAATATAGAACTCTCCACTTTCTGTAATATTCAACATATTTTTCAACTTTCCTTCACAAACTGCTCCTTGATCGGTGTAAAACTATCATTTATATTTACAACAGTTATTATCCCACCAAATTAAGTCAAAATTAGAGAATCTTCGAAATATCCGTCTAACATACTACCTCATGAATGGTTCAGAATGAGCCTGAGCTTGCATACTGTCATGTAACATCTGACAAGGGTCGTTTGCCTGAGAACCGCAGTTAACAGGCCTCGACTTTGACGTGAGAAGTTCGATCAGTTTTCACAGCTTTTTGTCCCTCTCGTCAAAAGCAGAGGAATCATCTGTCCTTTTCTCTGGACTTCAGTGGATTGTTGTCATCGCGCTCACACTCGGAGCCTTACTTTGCCCTCCACTCCCACGCCACAGTCCGCTTCCTGGATCATGCTCACATCGTTTCCTCCGTCTCCTGAGAGAAACAACCATGCACGTGTTAAAAGGATAGATCATGCACAATTCAGCCATTTCAAACTATTTAATGGTATTTTGCGTTGTATTACATAAAAGCACATTGTGTAACATTTCTGGTAGAGGGTCAGCCACCTGTTCCTATCTCCATAAAGTTGTTATTGCGTTGTCTGGGATTTCCACAGTATTGTGTTAAACTTATCAATCTCTATCCAGACAAGCAGGTGATGCCTCCAAGCCAAGTTACAGCTCAGATCGGTGGAGAGGCGATTAATCTGTGCAGTTAATTCAATTTTGATCAAGATTTTGTCTTTTCTATTGGTCCGTGATCAGCTTGAGACTTTTTAATGGTGAAGAGAAGACACAGAAAATCTTCTTGAGCGTAACAGTCCAGTGAGGTACATTTGGTCTTCTGATGATTTATGTTGTTGTTTATTTTCATACCTGACAGTTTTGACTTCTCACTAGCAGTGTTCCTCAGAGTGGTCACGTGACATTGCTGTGACGTGTCCAGTCAGCTGATTTATACAGGTTTTGGTGCTCTCTTCCTGCCTCTACCAGTAGCATTCACAATTTAGACTGTAAAATATAATCTACTCCAGTAGTTCTCAAACTCTGATATGGCAAACAAGCTAATTCAAAATTTAGAGTCTATTTAATACAGATCCTAGTTTTGTCCTAGTTTATATCCATAATAGTCCTGTTTTAGACCTGTTTGGATCTAGTGGTATTCAGAAGGCCAAAACAGTTTCTTGTGGTAGTGTAAAAAGTTTGAATACTGCAAATCTATTCATTTTACAAAGCATTCCCTCAGGTAATAAATACAGAACTTACTGACAGGATCACCTTTTATGTCCAACCATTGTTACTAAGAATCATAGGAAACTAACTGCCTGAGACTATCCCAGAGGCTTACTCAAAAGCAAATAGTGGACACTACTTGTTAATGTCCAGGAAATTACTATTGAAAGTTACTGGATTTGTGAAAAAGGTTTAAAATATAATGAAAAGAAAATTGCAGTCGATCAGTAGAACAGAAAACATTTTTGTACCTAAAAATACCTAGAAAAAGGCATTTGAACTGTGAGCGGGGTTGCCTCTCCACAGAACTGACCTGTAACTTGGTCTGGTTTAGTCTTTGGGAAGATAACTGTGAAACATTTCTGACAAAGCAATAACATCTCCGTGGAGAAAAGCATCTGACGGACCCTCCACCAGAAAGTTTACACAATGCACTTTTAATATCAGCACTTTGCATAGTAATGTGTTTTAGTCTCTTACCCACGGCGCAGGTGAGTTTTCCGGTGCGTTCTTGAAGTAAACGTACAATCTGGGCCTTCTGAGTAGGAGCACATCTACAGCACACGACCGCAGGGCACTGACAGGCCAGTTCCATAAACTCATACTCGTAATATTTCAGACAAACCTGCAAAGTAACCACAAAAAACAACCAGATAAAGACACCACACGTAACTGAAATATTAACCCTGAAATGGAGGTTCAATTTGGAGCAACCACAGACCACATCCAGGGCTGGTGCAGTGCTGCTGAAAGGATACAATCATACAAAAGCATAATAGACAGAGATAGTAGAGTAGAAAACACATTAAAGGTCCTATATTATGCAAAATTGACTCTTGTGAGCTTTAGGTCGTATTATAATGTTATTCCATCAAAAACCTACCCGGAGTTGTGTTTGTTTCATTCACACATGTTTAAGTAACCCTTTATTATTTGTCTACATCCTCCGAGCTCAAAATGCTCTGTTGGACCTTGTTTAGTAGCGGCTATTCCAGGGCTGAAATCATCCAAATGATTCTAATGTAGGTTTATGGAGCTTAAAAACACAGTGGAGCAATACCAATATTATCACATGACATCACTAGGTACAGAGGTAGAACAGAGTGTTTTCTGTTTGAGAGAAGAACTCAGCCTAAATATGCAGATTTATTTGCAAATATAGATCAGAAAATAGCATAATATAGGCCCTTTGCATAAGTATTTAAAGGTGCATTGTGTAACTGTCTGGTGGAGGATATGCCACCTGCCACTTGTCTCTGTGGAGATGTTATTGCTTTGCCTAGAATGTTTCATAGAATGGCATTAAACATGCACTCTTTATGTGAGAGGGGTCTCTTTTCCACAGATCTGACCAGCAACTTGGCCTGGAGCAGCCATCTGTTTGAATAAACATATCTATTATCTCAATATGTGTGTTTCATTGCTGTAAAATACATCAGAAGATATGTATTATCACTGTGTGCATGATCACTTATCCACAGATTTCACATGCTTGCCTCCATGGAGATAAATAATGTCAGCCTTTTAACGCTACAGGCAAAGCAATAACATCGTCATGGAGACAAGATGGTGCACCCTCTATTCGGAAAGTTACATAGTGCACTTTTACTGTATGATGTTATCCAAAGCCCCGTCATTTCAGTTCCTGCCCTGTTCTTCTGACAAAGAATGAGGAGACGCGCTTATTGACACTTTGTAGCTGATATTGTCAACATTCTGTTGGGGTGTGATGCTAACTGTAGGCACTGCTCTGTCTGAAGCTCTGTTACTCAAGTTAGACTTTAATCTGAGCTTCGTTTGAACACACCATAAAGAAATGACTAATTATAACTGTAACAGATGAACTGATTTGTGCTGTTAAACAAGTCCCTCTCAAATAGCATACAGTCACAAACTAGCTAGCATTAGCCTACCATGAACCATGATCTCTCATACTGATCACAGGTGATGAAAAGCTCAAATGTCTTGTTTAAATCCATGATTATTTTTTCTTAAAATGTTTTTGACAGTGTTAGCTAATGTGTGTCTACCTGGTAACTGCTGAACATTCAATAATAGAGACAGATGTGATACACCTCCAGAGTGATGTAACTATACAGCAAAGGGCTGTGCCAAAAATCTAAAGATTGAGAGATTGCGATCTCTACTTAGGTCAATCTCCATGATAAGGCATGCGCATTTTAATTGACCGGTCTACAGCCAATCATGTGGCAGTAAGAGCGCAGAGTGCTGAGGAGGATTTACACTCTCTTGTTTAGGAAAAAGCACCCTGACCCACAGAGTACACCTTTGTTTCCTCACAGGTCAAAACCCTCACAGGTTTTGACTTAAATTTGTACAATTTGACTAAAATCCAGTGTCTTTGTGCCTCTTTCTCTGTGTACGAGTCTGCCTCTGTGTAGCTCTTCACCTTTTCTCCTCTTTCTCTCCTCTTCTGCTTCTTTTCATTATAAACCAAGTTACGGAAAGTAAACAGCTATTTTCTCACCGTTTATGAGCGCAATTTAAGAGCTCATTAAGAGCATGGACATCGCACATGTTTCTGTTGATATCATTAACGCGCATCCATGTGTTTCTTCCACGTGGTTAACAGTAACGGTAATGTGCAAATGCTTTTAGGGTTAATATACTGAAAAAAAGCATGCCAAACTTTAAATCTGGATTTCTCTGTAACTACCCGTCCTATCAACACAAAATAAAAACAGTTGTGGTCATGACATTCTGCTCTTTATGTCTATCTATGTTTTTAATAAAATGGAAGAAAATCGAGATCGAACAATATGGGAAAATAAAATCGTGATTCTTTTTTTCCCATATCACCTTATAGCGCGTTACCTCCAGTGAGTCTCCAGATATGACGAGGGCACAGTCGTGTTTTCTTCTGAAGGCGTTGAGCTCCAGGTGGGCCTCTCCTCGTGTGGTCACCTGCAAAAGAACCCACATTTGAACAAAGCCACAAACTCACATGAAAACAAAGGCGCAATCTCAAATAAGAGGCGAGATACAGATCTAGAGTCTAGAGGCTCTGAGGAGTAACTGTTATTGTTTTGGGTCGTAACAAAGGTGACCACATTCAGGATGCTGTGGTAAGAAAGGGGTTTTCTTCTAAAGGGAGAGTTATGTTGTCAAGATAATAGTCAAGGTGATATCAAAATACAAAAAAGGAAAACTTCAAAAAGAACAGCTCAAAGAATAGGGAACTCGTGTGTTTTTGAATGTTATTTATGTTGAGTGTTATAAAGTAATAGTTATACACCAATGTGCAATACTTAAACCACAACCAAGTCATTTACTGTTATAATTTTGTGACAAAATGTATCTTTTTTTCCAATATAACCCTATTTTAATTGTTAATTGCTAAGGTAACCATCCAAATTTCCCATCTTTCTAAAATCCATGGTTAAGAATTAAGCCACCTTGCAGTTCAAACCTCTACAAACATGAACTGAAATTAGTTTAGCAGTTCAGATGTCAGTCTTCTCTACTGTGTATCGTACACTCAAATCTTGATTTACAAAACTTTGCTAATCTAATCATAATATTTTGTTTAGATATCCTTCCAAAATTGTTCAGCCTCTATAAATACAGTTCTGCAGAGTCAGTTTTATGTCAAAATCCTGGACCATATCGAAATAGTCATTTTAGCATAACATCAAACCACATGATATAACTGCGGTTTGAAACAACTGTGTCAAATTCAAAAATAGAGAGTCTAAACATGCAAACGCTGGAGAGGATCTGTCAGCACACCCACTGCTCTGGTATGAATATCCTTTAAAGAGTGGGTATTTCAATTTTATAGTGTATTAACTCATAACATATTTGGATCACCGTGTTACCTTTTATTATTTTGAAAATGCTATATTTGCTGAAAACAATGTATCAACATGTTTAATACAGATTTGTCAAGTAGTTATGTAAAATTGTGTGTATTTATGGAGAATTGTCGTGTGGGAACATGGGTGACGTAGGCTTGTGGATGGAGCCTTGGACAGAATCTTACAGCTATTAATCATGGAGATTCAAATAGGGCCTGAGAGAGATCGCTAAATTACTGAAACATGCATGGATGACATCAAAAACCAACCACCCAGGCATGTTTTAATGAGGCAACAATGTTATAACGCAGTAGAAAGCTAAAAAAAAATCAATTTTGCATAACACCCCCTTTTTAAGCGATGTCAATTCACAACACAGCTTTGGAAGTGACCAGGAAACGAATCCAGATGTGTGTGTTTAAATACCACTCCGCACTCCCCCTCTCCCGGGACCACCGCGGTTTTTAAGCCTCTGCCAACCATTGTTATGCTCCATAGCTGAAACCGCAGTTGTACGCAAATCTTAACCTTCTTTTGCTCTGGCCCTGATCCAAAGGGGAAGCCTATCAAAGCTGTGAAAGAGCCACAGACCTGCAAAACAAATTAGGAAGCAGGCTCGTAGCATGTTCCCATTGGGAGTGGTTCTGCTGGTTTGTTCTTTTTGATATAGGACATGAGGTTTTGCAGGAGGAAAGGTAATTTATTAAGCTGCAGACATGTCCTGAATAGCATAGGGTTTTTTAAGACGGTGAGACAGGAAGCGGTCCTGGGATGACCTCTGAGAAGGGCTGGGCAATATTGACAAAAATTAATAGCTACATTTTTATTTAGTCAATAAAGGTAATCAAACATAACTTTTGCAACCATCAGAAATGTGCTAAATGCTTGCCTAAAGGTGGGGATGGGGTATTTTACGTTTTATGGGGTATTAACTTATCTGTATCCTGCGATCCTGCTTAATTCTGCAGGATCACGGGAGCAGATACAAAGTGGCCGAAATGAGTTTCCTCTGCAGGGTGGCTGGGTGCTCCCTTACAGATAGGGTGAGGAGCTCAGTCACACTGAAAGAGCTCGCTGCTCCTCCACGTCGAGAGGAGCCAGCTGAGGTGACTCGGGCATCTGTTCCGGATGCCTCTTGGACGCCTCCCTTGGGAGCTGTTCTGGGCATGTCCCACCGGAAGCAGGCCCCGAGGTAGGCCCAGGACACGCTGGAGTAACTATGTCTCTTGGCTGGCCTGGGAACAACTCGGGGCCCCCCCAGAGGAGCTGAAGGAAGTGTCTGGGGTGAGGGAAGTCTGGGAGTCCCTGCTTAGACTGCTGCCCCCACAACCTGGCCCCGGATAAGTTGAAGAAAATGGATGGATGGATGAATGGGGTATTAACTTGTATCATGATTATAAAGCTGTAGTGTATCGTTTGGTATCATGTTTTTGTATATTTATGGAGAATTGTCGTGTGGGAGCATGGGTGATGTAGGCTTGTGGCCTTTAGGGTTCAAATAGGACATGGGAGAGATCGCTAGATTACACAGTCTTGCATGGATGATATTCTAAAACCTCTTCAGATATGTTTTTGATGAGGGAACCTTATAAGAAGTTCCAAAAGTAAATTTTGCATAATTTCCCCTCTTTAAGTTTCAAATATCACACAAATAGTTAATGGACAGTCAAATTAAACACACAAAAATTAACATGACTAATCTGCGTCCTATAAATTACAAAATAAACATGTTTAAATGCAACATTGCTTTTACTGATAACAGCTGCAATGATGATTTGTTATGAATGATGTTTTAATGTTGTGTTTGGTCGATTATGCAATCCAAAAGTATGAGCTCCTCACTTTGGATTGCCAGAGCATGAGCAAACCCAGTGTTTAAGCCTAAAAGGCCTGTCTCTGATCTGAATGGTCACTACCTAAACCCCAGCTCCTGCAGCTAATCTTGAGTCTGTGCTAGTGCAGCCTCTGCAGCTCAGGGAGGGAATTCTGGAGGTTCTAAGCTTTCACATGAGCCATGATCTGTCCATATACTTAGAATGAACAAAAAATATATGCAGGTTTAGGCATTCGTAACCCAAGTTCAGTTGAGATTGCAGTTCTTTTTTTTAAACCAGTAAGACCACAAGCTAAACCCCCCTTTAAATTACACAATTGTTTGCTAAATACACATTTACATTTCTGCTATGTTTTTCCTATATTTTGATCAACTCTTTATGCAGCTTTGACAATTTTCTAATTATAGACCACATACTCCACACCCTAAATTTGCATGTCTTCCACTACCATTTTGATATTATCTGTAGACTGTCTATCCTGCCTCTATCCCTGAGCGCTGGAGTTCCATGAGAGTGTTGGAGCAGCTGCAGCACACACTCACAGGTCTAAAGACGTGGATGTCCTGGGAGCGTGTGATCAGATGGGCGTTCTTGGCTGTGCAGGTGGCAGTTTCCAGTTTGTCTCCTGTCAACATCCAGACCTGAACAGACAAACACAGATATAGAAAATACTGAACCATGTCGAGAATACACACAGATGCACACACGCTCTAGTTACATTGTAATTGTGTTACAGCACAGTGTCTGCAGTTGAATGTCTCTGCTGTATAATGTGGGAAATAATAGAGTCCCACATATGAGCTGCTGTGTACTATACAAAACTGCAATGTAAAATGGCATAGCATGTTGCTGTCAATAAAACTCATACATTGTCAGACAAATTCACGTTCAAAATATGGACTATAATTTTCATCACTGTAGCTGACATTTTGTATTATAAGGCTGCATGAAAAGTCTGTATTGGCTGTATTGTCCTTGCCAAATAATAACATTAATTAATAATCAAATAATAAATACAGGTTGTGTTCATTTTCTAGACTTTCAGTTGAAGAACAATGTCATGTACAACTCAAAGTCTTAATTATTTTGAAACAAATATCCAAATTTATGATCCACAAATGCTTTAATAATAATAAAACAGCGTATTACATCTTTACTCCTGTATTATTCCCATGTACATATTTAACCCTGTATTTGTCACCTTGATGCCTGCATTCCTGAGTATCTCCAGTGTAGGTCTGACGTCTGTCTGCAGCTGGTCCTCCACTCCGGTCAAACACAGAAGCTCCATCTCCATCTCCAGACTCTCGATCACTGTCGCCACCTTCAGGGAGCGGTCGTGAACGCTCAGCTTGGCCTGAACATAACGTGCCTGGAGACAAAACAACACAACAACAACAATGACGCAAGGCAATTTGTATAGCATAATTCGTATGCAAAGTAATTCACAGTACTTCACAGAATAAGAAAGATATTAAAATCACAATACCTAGAAATAAAAAAAAAAAAAAAACATCTATGACCATCATAAAATCATTAGAAGAGAAGAGTGCAGAATAAAAACCCTTCAGTCATATGCAGCTAAACAGAAGTGTTTTGAGCCTGGATTTAAACAGAGTCAGAGCAAAATTCTGCCTCACATGTTCACGAAAGACTGTTAGCATTTCAGTTTTATGCAGCTAAAATCTGACACCCCATTACAATCAACACAATCTAATAAGCCAATGTGACCTTTCAGGCTTTATGAATATATCTGAGCACTTTAGCATGCAGGCTTTTAACTTAAAATGGCAAATGCATATGTAAAACAGGTAAAAGTCAACCATATAAATAGTAGCTGCAAGCTACTAGTGACACATGCACTGTACTTACAGCAATTTAAAAATGCACTGCGAAACTTTTCTGGTGGAATGCTTTACCTAAAACATTCCATAGCATGGCATACATTTCTGCACAGAAATGAGCAGGCCACATCTCGGATCTGTAGAGGCAGGCCTGCTCACAGTAACAATGCAATTATATCTGTAATTAAATAAATACAAGACTTTTAATGCCATGTTGTGCAAGATTCCAGGCAAAACAATTACTTGTTCATGGAGACATGGAGAGGCTAGATCCTCCACCAGAAAAGTTACACAATTCAACTTTAAGTGCTGTATAGAAACAGTGCAAAAGATTTATACATTCCCTATGCTATTTTTAATGCACAAAACAAAACTATAGCTTTTAGATCTAAAACCATACCATTTAAATTATGGTATTGTAAAGGTCCCCAATAATAATAATGCAATTCTTCAAACATTGCATTAACAGTTCCATCTCAAATCTCTCTTTTACAAATGCTTAAATGCCTTTTCTTGCACCATTCTTTCAGATATAATGTAGTGTTTACAAATGTTTGTGTCTATTCACCAGGTTGTGTGCATAATTTTATATTTTGCTCGAACAGTTACATAATCATAGCCAAATGGTTATTGTACAAATGTTTAAATATCATTTGTTGAACCTGTTTGTAAAAATAGTTCAAATATAGAAAACACACAGTGTACACCCATGTTGTTTCTTGCTCCGGGGGTAATTTGAAAGTCCAAACAATCTGAGCATGAGTCAGACAGGAAGAGGGTGAGTCAGCTGTGAGTCAGAGCTCCAGGCTGAGAGGGGGGAGACGAGGGAGCGACAGCCCAAAACAATGACTGCTCCCTGGGTGTGAGGAGGAGGGGAATGCAGGGGCTCCTGGAGGTCAAGGCTCTTGCGTATGATACAAAGACACATTTGATATTAGGACATTTTTGATGTTTTATTGTGGTAACGAAGTTTAGAGCAGTTGTTAAGGGCTGATTTTTGGGTCTGTTTTTTGCATTTTATTTAATGTGGACTATAATTTCAAAATGCATTTACATTTACAGCTTTGAAAGTGTTATTATATTTAGAATACTATACAATTAGAATACTATACAATTAAGGAACAATCGACTGAATGTTTTTGGCATTCATTCACTGTTTTTAACATGCACTATGTAAGTTCTTGATGGTGCTATGCTCGTCTCCATGGAAATGTCAGGAATGCTCCACAGTGTGGCATTAAACTTATCCATCTCTAAGAAGACATGCATGTGACACCACCAGACCAAGTTACAGGTCAGATCTGTAAAGAGACAACTATGCTTGGAGAATGCAGAATGCATGTTTTTCCAAGGTATTTTGGAGTAATAAAAAACTAAATGCAGTATAATAATATAATAATAAAGATATTTTTAATGCCAAACTGTGAAACATTCCAGGCACATTCCATATTCCATTCCTGGATCTACCAGAAGAGTTACATAATGTACCATGAAATTTCTACATTTCCGCTGTAAGCTTTTCTTTGTGGTCACATTTTAGTATTTTATTTGATTAGTGGTTAACCTGGCTTGTACTTGGTCAAGCATTGTTCAACAAAATCCTTGAACTATCCAAGTGAAAAATACCAATGATCTGTATATTTGCAACAGAAACTACCTAAGTGAATTGGAATGGATGTGGTTAATCCAAAACACAAAGCGCAGCTAAGATTTAAAAATGATAAAACATGAAAACTAACAATATTAGCAATAGTATGCAAGTATTAGTACTATAGTTTATTAAACCCTCACCTCAAAATCCTGGTACTGTTCCTCTGTCAGTGACTTCTTAGACACGACCAGGACTCTCAGGCCTTCACGAGCCATGTTTCCACACTAGAAAAACATCAATATATATAATACTGTGTTACATTATAAAAATAACTTGAACCATTTGAATGTCATTTGCATGTATTTGTGTAACAGACCTCCTCCTCCAGCCAGTCGTTGTACTGAACTATCCCAGCCATCACCACATCTGCTCCCTTCATGTAGAAAGTGATCTCACCATTCGATTCATCCTGAGAAACAAAGTGTAACATTAATAATAAGAATTTATTAGTAGTAACAACTGAATATAATTTGTACTTCTCAGTGTAGTTTTCATACATTATATACTTCGATACGTCTACATTGTTTTGCACACACTGGAAAATTACAATTTTATTGGCTTTACATTTTCATTTTTATCATATGCTGTTATTTAAGAAATTGCAAACTGCCTTCACTTACATTTGTATAGCTAGTCTAATTACACAATAACCCTGCTTTGAAAATAGGAAAGTCAAAATTAAACTTTCATAATAATCATCAAGTTCATGATTTTGTAATTTTCCAAGATCTCAATTATTAAAAAAATAAATAAAAAATTATAGAATTTATTTCATTACCGTAATTGCTCATACCCAGAGTTGTGTTTTGTTTCATTCACACAACTTTGAATAATCCTTTATTTTTATTCTGTCCAAAGCTCAAAATGCTCTGTTCCACCTTGTGATGTCCTTTTGTCTTAGAGATAGAGATTAGCAATTCCTGGGCTGAAATCATCCAAATGATTCTAGGTGTATGGAGTTAGAAACACAGTGGAGCACAACTTGTATTACCACATGACATCACAAGGTGGTACTGAATGTTCTGGGTTTGAGAGAAGAACTCAGTGTAAATTATGCAGGGTTTGTGTATTAAACATGTGTGAATGAAACTAAACACAACTCCAGGTGTGTTCTTGATAAGGAAACAATAGAATATAGATTAGACAATAGAATAACATTACCATGACCTAGTTCTGTTTTTCATGTTGACAGTAAAAGTCAGGTACAGTGCCTTTAACATTCAATAATAAGTCAGACACTGACAGGCAACTGAAGCATGGGTGAGGAGTGACTAGGAAATGCAGTGTTCATTGTTGAATTCAAGCAACGTGAAACTCTTTCTTAAACAGACTGACATTATGAGCTGCCAGGAAGCCATTTTGTATTCACTGGGGATTTCAATAACAATTTGAAAATATTATTATGTGGAAGTCAAATTTTGGTTCCTGGCTTCCTGAGATTTACTTTGGTCAAAAAAGGCCAACGAAAATAAACCTTAGTCACCAGCCGGGTTGTTTGAGTTCATCGTGAGGTTGTTAGAAGTTCGCTTTCTTGTTTTTCTTTACGAACTGAAAATAATCCATACACTTCATCGCTTTGTTTACTAGTAAATTTGTGCTACAAGAAATAAAAACAAGCTTAAAATCACAACCAAGACATCTGAAAACATTAGCAAAATGCCAGTTAAAGGAACTGTGTGTAGAATTTTGTTTTTAAATTTCATAAGCATGACCTAACTGTGACCCAAGATATGAGGTCATCAAATATAGCTTTTACTGGGAACAGTTGTAATACTGATTTATTCTTAATTACAAAAACATTGGACATGATGGACAAGTTGCTTATGTTATAACTTGATGTTTTGGTTCTCAAGACCATTATTCAATCAGAAAGAAGAATGAGCCACACATGAGTCTCTCATTTGGGTTACCAGTTCCAATGCTGTAATCTATCTGATTTAAGCCTAAAATGCCTCTATCTGATCTGAATGATCACTATCTAAACCCCAGCATCTGCAGCCAATCCTGAATCTGTGCTAGTGCAGCCTCTGCAACTCAGTGAGTGACTTTTGGAGGTTCTGAGCTTTCGCATTAGACCCATCCATATACTGAAAATAAGATAAACTTATATGCTTATATGTCTTCTATTTGCAGGTTAAGGCTCTGGCAACACAAGTTCCATTGTGCTTGTAATACCGTTTTAAAAACTGTATGAGTACGGGTTACATACTACCTTTAGTATGAGACATAGGTCTCCAGGAAGAATTTTCGTAATTCATATATATTTTCTTATTCAAAGTAGATCTTTAAAAAAATACAGGCTTTGTAAATAGATAAATATAAACTACTATAGCCATTTTAGTGCACAGTGTAAAAAATAAAAAAGTTGCATGATGCACTAAAACCATAAGGACAAAACAAATCAAATGCATTCATCTCTACTCCATCTGCTTAGAAAAAGGCATTCCCTCAGTAAAATGTGAGGTGATTAGACAGGTACCCGCACTATGATGCCCATCCTCTTGCTCTCGTAGGTGAAGGGGAAAATCTGCAGGATGGTGAAGTTCAGGATTTGTCCAGTGGGGGTCCTCAGCTGAATAGAAGACTGGTCCCGTCCAACAAGAGTCAGTCCCACACTCTCAGTCCACTGCACCAGCGACACCTAGCAGCACAAAAGAAAAGAGAAAGAGACACACAGAAATGATATCTAGTGTTGAAATGCAGGAAAGAAAATTCTTGTTTTTATTCATTTGAAAGAGACAATGTAAGTGTAAATTGAGATTTACAATGTTGCCTGAAAAACTTGTGATGTGATTTGTAAATTTTCAGCGCCCTCTGCTGTAGTACCAAATATGAGCACAAAGGAAGTGTTATGTCCTTAGGCAAGACACTTCACTCACTTTGCCTAGTGTGAAAGGTGTGTGTGAGTGATTGATGGTGGTCAAACAAAATATAGAGTGTAGTGTGACTACAGCATAGATACTTCATAAAAAAAATATATATATATATATGTATACACACACACATATACATATACATATATATATATATAAATAAAAGATAAGAAACAGTGCAGAGCCGTGGTGGTGGACATCGCAATACCAACACGAGAACCTAGAGAAATACCAGGGGCTCAAGGAGGAGCTGGAGAGAGCCTGGAAAGTGAAGGCATCAGTGGTGCCTGTGGTGATCGGACACTCGGGGCTGTAACGCCCAAACTGGAAGAGTGGCTACAACAGATACCGGGAAAAACAACGGACATCTCAGTCCAGAAAAGTGCAGTACTGGGAACAGCAAAGATACTGCGCAGAACTCTCAGGCTCCCAGGCCTCTGGTGGAGGACCCAAGCTGAATGAGGGTGAGAGAGACCTACCACCGTGGAAGGTGAGAAATACCTTTTTTTTAAAAATACATATTAAATTGTTAAATAAAACAGTATTTAAATAGTTATTTATATTTTTCCTTTGCTACATAATTCCTCATATCTTACATCATATATTTGAGTTTTCCAAATAAAATGTAGAACGTACATACAAAGTACATTGAAAAAGAAGCTGTGTCCAAACTTTTGACTGGTTGTTTATCTTGTGAATCCTTGGTAGTTTTCCTCTATTTTCTTGTTTAACATTACCTCATCAGGACTAGAAGCCTGGTAGACCCTGCATGTGTCTTCATAGTGCTGCTCAGCCTCTGCCTGGTCGGTCACTCCGTTGGACTCGTACACCGGGGTGACGTTATGCACAAGAGCGATGGCCTTCACTGCCTCATGCACTCGGCTGCTGATGGTCTTTCTCACTTTAGTGGCCCCTGGAGCTCTGGAGGCCGGGAGGTCATGAGTGGGCTGAACGACACACAGAATGACAAAGATTTTTCACAAAGAGATAGATGGAAACGGATTTAGTTTTCTCATCAAGAGAGTGAGAGATGACAGGAGATGCTACTTCTACTGAAAGTTTTGCATTGTTCTTCTTCCCATACCTCAGATTTTGTACTCATCAAAGTCTATTTTTTATGCATGTGCTTATGTTTTATGTTTGGGAATTGTGTTCACTGACAACGGCAACTATTTGGTAACTATAAAACGCTGCTTAAACATAAAATAAACTTACAATTGAATCTTCCAAAAATATTGACTTTGAAAAGTGACCTTTCTGCACTTGTGTGCAATCAAATCGAAATTTAAATGGATACAATTTTCAAAACATTTCAAAAACTAAACAGATTGAAGATAAATTGTTTCTATTAAAACAGAAATCCATGGCAATGCTGAGTAAAAGCTCTAGCTTGAGTAATGTTTATTGTCTATTCAAATTGTCAATGATTCAATCGACCCTTGTTTTCACCTCCAGTAAAAACCCTGCTTTTACTTCTGTGATTTTCTTTTTCTTAGTAGGTGATATATGTGAGATTCAGCAGTCTCATGTACTTATCTTTGCACAAATTAAAATAAAAAAAGTGCTAATTGCTAATGTGCAACTATCCAGCAAACTCCACAGCTCTTTGTTGTGATATTTACGGCGACATCAGCTCCCATTAGGCACCACATTTTTCAAACACGGAAATCAGCGTTCTTGTTTCTTTTATCAAGTCATTTTAGATCAATACTGCGATTTAAATGTCCAAATGACAACATAATGATCCTTTGGTGTCGTAGATTATCACTATACAACAGACACAAGCACAATAGGTCTTTAAGTCACAAGAATGCATAATGTGTGTTCTTTAAATAACTAGTCAGTAACAATGTTGGTGATAGGCAACTCTAAGTGTAACCAGGTGTCTTAAGAAAATATGAACCACGTTGAGCTGTTGTGGCGCCTCTATTTTTGGGTTTGTTAATGGAGGCGTCATTAAATCAGCAGTGTGTTTGGTGCTTTGCTTTGGGCTGATCCTGTTTCCTGCTTCACCGACCTCTGGTGTCAAAGGGGGACAAAGGGTGTCATCTGAGGTCAGGAAGCATCGAAACAAACAAAAATCACAAACTCAAACTTCTCAACACAATGCAAGCGCTGTTTGTACGAGCGCTTTCCCATGCAAATTTCAAAGGAGGACAGGACTTACAAAAATCTCCTTAAAGCGCGTTAGACTAGATTTCTCTTCAATCAAATATGCGAAGGTGCTGTCGGAGACGCCTTTCATAACTCAAAGACATGAGCGATAAGTTTTGTCGTGATGGTAACAGCAACTAGCATGCCAATATGTACTTCCTTCCTAATTATCAGACTGTTTTCCCCCCTGTATTGATTGATTTTCAGTTCCTTATTACACAACATTTTTTTCTTTAAAATTTTTGTTACAAAGCACATGCTGATATCTGAATTCCACTTTTACACGGTGATGCTCTCCCTCCCAGCAGCCTGCTCACCTGAGTGTAAGCACTGAACACGTGGCTCTGTACTTCATCCATAGAGTCCATTCCGTAGGCCACAGTCCCCAGATGCAAACGCCGGAACACCATTTCATTCTGGGTCAGTGTCCCTGTGAGAAAATGGAACAAATATGATTGTCTGTTTTTATAGTTTATTTACCTCTAATGTAATTTTATTTACCGTAATATAATTTTGTTGGTTTTACAGCTTTACTCAGCTTGGATGAAGTTTAGTCATGTTTTTTTTTTTTTAAATGTACACTGTTTTCTGATTTATGTTATGTTTCCTCATCACAAACATACCTGAGAGTCATGTTTTGTTTCATTCACTTTAATCCACAAATCCTGCATGTTTCTGTTCCACCCTGTGATGTCATGTGGTAATAACAGAGTGTTCCACTTTGTTTTTAAACTCCACAAACCTTAACTAAAATTATGTGGACGATTTCAGCCCTAGAATTGCCAATCTCTACTGAACGAAAAGTAAAAAGAGTAGTTACTGTAAAACATACTGCTTCATGACATCATAAGGTAGAACAAAGCATTTTGAGTTTACAGGCTTACTCAAACATGTGTGAATGAAACAAAACACAACTCCAGGTATGTTTTTGCTGAGGTAACAACATTCTAACATCGCTAAAAGCTCACAAGAGTCCATTTTGCATAATATAGACCCTTCAGCCCATGTGCTTTTAGTGACACGTGATTGATAGTAGATCACATTATTATAAAGACCTAAGTAGGGGTGTGCAGAAATATTGAAATATCGATATATCGTATCGTTTAATGTGATGATACAGTATCGATATCGTGGGCTGCTGTATCAATATATCGCCAAGAGTATTTTTTTTATATATTTTACTAAATTATTTTGTTACAGCTACAGTTTTGTTCATTGTTTAGAGGAAGAAAACTTGTTTATGCGACACATTTGACATTTTCACTGTTTTAATGATTAAAATGTTTGTGTTTCATATGAACATTTCACAAGAAGTGGTTTAACAAAGACTTTTAGTATCACAGCCATGATTTAGACATTATTTTTTATTGGACTGTATCGAACTGATTTGAAATATACCATATTGAATTATATCGAATCGTAAGCTCACTGTATCGAGATATGTATCGTATCGTGGCCTATGTATCGCGATATGTATCGTATCGGCAAATTCTGAATGATACCCAGCCCTAGACCTAAGCTGATCACTGACCATTAGAAATGACAGAAAGAATACAACTGTATTAAATGCACTGCCTTAGATTTAAGTCAAACCTTTGTGGATTTTTCATTTGGATGTTATTTAAAAACACAATATATAATCAATAGAATTCTGGCCCCTGCTCCATCTGAGAAAGGGACACCTACACTTGAACAATTAATTCTCTCAATACTTTTGTCAGTTATATATTCTGAGCTTGGGGGCCTTATTGCAGTTTTAAATGGGGAAACTGCAATCACTTAACTGGTCAGGAGGACTATAAATCTATAGGCCAACACCTTCAGCCTGGAGGAAGTACCCAGAGCTGAGGAGGTGAGTGGATGAGAAGTCTTTTATGATTTAATGATCAAATAACAGCCCTACCCTCCTCAGTCTAAGCCCTCACCTCCCAGAAGCAGAGGAAGTGGCTTAGCTGTGCACTTTTAGCACTTTGAGCACTGTCCACGACACTAAAAGCTTTTCTTAGACTGGTTTATTTACACAGGCTTTCCTTCATCTCTGCCACACAACGAGAGGCGTCACTCTGTCAGATTGTACTGGTACAATTAGTGACATGCAGAAACGACAACTGATTACATATTTTCCTAGTGAAATATCTTTTAACATTAAGGCTGATGAGGAGGACAGACTTAAAACCCCACTGTGTAACATTTTTTGCCAAAAAAATTACTAAAATAAAAGACAAAAAGTGATGATTTTCATTATGGTTGTTTTTATCTCATTGAAAATGTAGAAGTGTAGAAAAACATGTATTTCATCTCAACAAACCTTACACTTATCTGTTCTGTTTCTTTCCATGGAAATTAGTTCTTTAACTATAATATTCCACAGTATGGCATAAAATGGTTTTAACTTTCCATGGTGTCATGCAGGTGATGGGCCACCTCCAGAATATTGCGCAGTATTGCATTAAAGTGGAGGGTCCACCACCTGCTTGTCTCCATTGAGATGTTATTGTTTTGCCTGGAATTGTCCACACTATGGCATTAAATGTGTATATTTTCATGGAGACAAGCAGGTTGGGCCAACAGACCAAGTTAAAGGTCAAATCGCTCAACAGAAAACACAGTGCACTTTTAAGTCATGTTTAATACAGACATCCTTCCACAGATCCCAACAGCAGAACAGATGCAGCATTCATGTTTGTACCGGTCTTGTCCGTGAGGAGGTAGGAGATGCGTCCCAGTTGTTCTGGGATGGTGCTGGCTCGAACCACTGTTCCGGGAATCTTGGAGTCTTTCTTTATCATCCAACTGAAAACCATCTTCCCCATGTCCAGGTTCACACGCAAACTGAAAACACATTCAAAACAAAGGCCTTACTCAACATTATTACTCTATAGAATGTGTCTACAAGTATTTAGTAGTACAGTCACATTTTGACACTAATCTTGGTCTTGAGACTGGACTTGAGACCATTTTTGGTCACTGACTGGAAATGAAAAATCTGCTGGATTGGTCAGTTCCGTGATATCTGTTCAGCCGATATCGGAGTTGTGCCATTAACTGGATGTATTATATGTATAAGTCTATTTACAGGCTGATTTTGGCCTCATAATATTTGAACTTGTATTCATACAAAGCTGTGATTTGAAGGATAAAAAACAGTTACAGTTTTTTAAAGCAAATTAATTGCAAGTTAATTCTGGCGCTGTATAAATCCAAAACATTATCAGGATCTTTTGTAACTTGCAACACTGCAATTTCTTTTTGTGGGATCTCAAATTATTCAGCATATTTTAATATGCACAAAGTGTACAGGTTATGACAATGTTTTTAATGTAAACTCACCTGATGGGGATGATGTGTGAGAGCAGTAACAGGAAGCGTAGAATCTGTAGGTACCATCGTCCAGCGAAGTGTTGTAGGGCCACCATCACCATGGAAACCACCACCAGGGCCCCGAAGAGAATCTTAGTGAGAGAGTTCACCTCCAGGTCGAACAAGCCTGTCTAAAATGCACAAGTATAATTTACGGGTAAATGGAGGCAAGTGGAGCAAAAATGAAGCAAACCATAATACTGCATGTTACCAACTGACAACAGATCATTTTAAGCCTCAAAATTGTATTTGAGAAATATTGTTTCTTGATAACAGTATTCAATACTTTAACAATGCATCAGAATGTGCTAACATGTGCCTGTAAATGTCTTGGTGTGCAAAACCCAAAAGGTGCAGAAATATAATTTTATAGCAGCAGGGGGTAATTTTACCAAAGAGGTATTATGCAAAATATATTTTTTGAGCTTTCTACCATGTTATAACATTGTTCCGTCATCAAAAACATGCCTGAAGAGATTTTAAATGTCATCCATGCATGTTTTGAGTATTTTAACGACCCCTTTTAGTGGCCCACAAGCCTACGTCACCAATGCTCCCTCACGACAATTCTCCATAAATATACAAAAACACGATACAAAACTGTACACAGCAATTTGACAATCCTCATGTGATGTGCAGTAGTTTCATTAGCAGGAGGCACGCTCTACATCTACCTCTAATGGCTGATGGAAGAAACCAGAATACAACACTCCACAACAGAAAAAAACACACCATATGTAGTGTGAGAGTGACTGATCGGTGTTGGTCAGAGAGGCTGTTGGGGCAGATTGGATCAAATTAAAATGGTGATGAAGTGACGGGGTATCTAATAAAATGTCCACCCCCTCCCTGTCTTGTGGTTAGGTTTTTCACTGTTTCACTCTGTACCTTGTTTCGGGGGTTGGAGGTGTTCATGACGCTGCGCAGCTCTCGGCCTGTGTAAATCACCACCCCCATTACTGTGCCTGAGAGAGGGAGAGAGAGGAAGAGGGAGGGAGGTACAGAGGAAGGGGAAGAGAAAGCAAGAGAGGATGGGGGATAGAGAGGGAGAGAGAAAGAGTTAGAAGGTGAGGTAAGTTGAAAGAGAGAGAGGGAGAAAGAGAAGAGAGAGAAGACAGGATGGACAGCAAAACAGAGAGAAGAAAGAAAAGGAAAGAAAGAAAGAAAAAGAGGGGGGAGTGGAGTGAGTTGAGTGGAGAAGAGAGAAAGAGAGACATGACGGAGAGGAGCAGGGGAGGGTGGAGAAAGCGAGAAAGAGAGAAAGAGAATTAGTGAGGGACAGCAAAATAAAGGGAAGAGAAAGAGAGAGAGGAGAGACAGGGGAGTAAATTGAAAGAAAGGAGAGGAGGAGGGTAAAATCTGTAAAAAACTGTAAGACTCCAGTAAAATCAAGACACACCGTAAACCAGAGGACGTCAAAGAGATGTTTCCCAGACGCCTAATCCCCACATAAATAAACCACTCAGTGAAAATGTCATTTCAAATATCAGATCCAGATTTCCTATTGTCTAATGGATAACACATGTGCAGGAGGATCAGTGAGTATTCCCCATAGGGAAGGCTGTAACATGACTGAAACAATGTCCAAAAGCTTTGACAAGGTAATATTTTATAAGCAGTTAGAAAAAAAGGAGAAGGAATTAAGGAATAAAGAAGTGTATTAAAATTACAATTTGAAAGGCTACAATTATTTAGCAGATATATTATCATTTGGGCCTTATTCTGTCAAAACCTGCAAACCCTCTACTTTAGACATACATTGGATTGTAGTACAAGTACATTTCAAATATACCTGAAGCTATAACAGTGCTTGCCCACAGCGTGTTTTCAATGCTGAGACTTTCATTGACAGGGTGATCTCCGTCTTCCTAAAAAAACGGAAAGTAAAAATTGAGAATTATGTAAGTTTCAGGCCTCAGTATCATCATCTTATGTAAACATGACTCGGTAAAGCAAGTGTACACAGAGAGTAGCAACAGTCTCAATTACCCTTGTGAATGTGCCAATGAAGTTGTGGATATCTATGTTTGGTTCTTCGGCGTAAATGTACGATCTGATTTGTAGAAGGTCCTGGAAGATAAATAAAGCACATGTATTTTTACTCATTTATGTCTTGATGAAACAACATGAGGCGCACAAATGTAAACACATCTCACACACCACCTCAGGCTACCTTCCGTTGGTTTTTCCATTCACAAATCCATAAACAAATAGTACCTACAAACTGGAGGCCGGTGATCTGACAACTTTCAAGTTAGTTGGTGGGACAGCTACAAAAAAATATCATGTCTTCTTTATTCTGTGACTGTCTAAAACTAGCAAACTCTATCTTCTACAAACATGTTCTGAAATGTTAATATGTTTCTTAGTAATAATAAAACAAAGTATGTATATTTCTGACTATGTAACTGCCTTTCTTGTCAATTCACAGAAATATTAATGAATCTGTCGTGTCCCTGAATGAATAAATGTACAAATGAATGAGTATTCGGTTTCAACACTCACCCCCGCAGTGGGCAGCCTCTGCGTACAGGCCACTGGGAGGCGCAGTTTCCAATCTGTCTCTCCGTCGAGCTGATCAGTGCGCAGGAAACAGGAGCCTGTAAAACACAGACCACATTAACCTCTAGAGGGCAATAAGACACAAAGGATTTTATTTAAAACATCAGGCAACACTGAAAATCAATGTGCATTGTAAATCAGGTTAGAGATACATACTGCCCCATTATATTTTACTGTCCTTTACAACTATTATCCATTAACACTGTCACCCATGGTTACAAGTATGACCAAAGAAGTTAGAAGTTTAAAGTTATTCAATTAAAATACATTTTATCTTGTACTTTGTAAGCCTCTGGTTTAGCCCCACCTCAATCACCATATGGACCTAGTTTAGCCCATGTTCAATCCTGGTCTAGTCCTGGATTAATTTTTTGGTTTAGTCCATGTTTAGTCCTGGCTGAGCCCCTGGTTATATCTTAGTTTAGAACTTGCTTTAGACCCTAGTTGGGTCGCAGTCTTGTCTTAGTCCTAATGTAGTCCTGCTTTAATCCTGCTTTAGACCCTGGTCAGGTCCCAGTCTAGTCTTAGTCCTGGTTTAGTCCTGGTTTAATCCTGGTTTAGACAATGTTTTAGATGATGTTTTAGACCTTGGTTAAGTCCTAGTCTAGTTTTAGTCCTGATTTAGACACTGGTTTAGACAATGTTTTAGACCTTGGTTAGGTCACAGTCTATTCTTAGTCCTGGGTTTGTCCTGGTTTGAGCCCTGATTTATATCTTATTTAGTCCATGAATCACTGCTAGATAACTCAAATTAGAGAGATCATAGACTCAGAGTAAGTCTCAAAAGCTACAAGACAAAAGGCTCCCGATCTCCCAGTTAAATGTATCAAAGGTGCCAATATTAGTGAATGGGACACACATGAGAGCTGAAGAGGTTATGGGTTAGATAATTGTCTTTACAAGTGGGGGGTCGAGGTGCAACCACCCACAAACTGCAGGCTCCCATCCCCCACTGCTCTGCATGCGTCATCCTGCCCCAAAATCCTGCTTGGTCCTTCATAATTGACCTAATGGCCTCCACATGGAACACAGATAACCCAGCACTTTTCCAGTAAAACAAAGCTTTCCTTCCCCCAACAGGAAAACACAACAGCAACACACACAACAGCTTACTTTTGTGCTTTCAATTTGAATCTGAGTTTATATTTTAAAGGGCTATTGCAATATATTTTCTGATCTACGTTATAATGCCATTTCCTTATCAAAAACATCCCTGGAGAACATGTTTAAGACACAAATCCTTCATATTTAGGCTGAGTGTGATGGCATGTGGTAATATGTGAAGTGTTTTAAACTCCATACACCTACACTAGAATTACTTGGATGATTTTAGCTCTGAAATTGCCCATTTCTACTGAACAAAAGGTAAAAGGTAGCTGTTAACATGAAACCTACCACAGAGCATTCTGCGCTTTGGAGATGTAGACAGCCTAATAATAGTTAGTCAATCATGTGTGCATGAAACAAAACACAACTCCAGGCATGTTTTTGATGAGGAAACAACATTATAACATGGCTTAAAGCTCACAAGAATCAATTTTGCGTAATAGAGGATAAAGTCACAAAGAAAGAAGGATCTTGGAAATAGGGCTGCAATCATTTTCAAATAAGATTTTAATTGTGATTACAAGTATTCCAAAATTAGGTTTGCAATTTATGTTTTCAAATCAAGATTCAGTTCAAGTACAATTTTAAACTTGACCCAAAGCATTAGCAGTCAAGAGAAGACTGAAATCTGAACATTTCTGGGCATTTGGGAACAGGTTTGTAGAGATATAAACTACAGAGGGTTAATAATGATCAACTCTCCTCATATTATGCTTTGTAGCTTTTATTCATCATTAAAATGTCTCAGTAATATTGTGTGACTCATGTTTAGAGAAGGATTTTTTTCCCCATGTCTTTGTGCAAACTTATTCTTGCCCCAGTAAAGATATATTGTTAAGCAGCTCTTCAGGTCAAAATAAGTCAGCTGTGTGCCGTATGCATCAGATTATAAAGCTTTTTATTGTCGATAATCACAAAGTGCATGTTAGCATGCTAGTGTGTTAGTATTAATGTGTAAGCAAAACTCTGTTCTAGTCTCTGAAAGCTGTGAAAAGCACTTATAAAATCATTTCAGTGAATAATATAGAAGAATAAAGCCTATGACCTGGTTTAGTCCCTGGTTTAGCTCCAGGTTTAGTCCCTGGTTTAGTCCCTGGTATAGTCCCTGATTTAGTCCCTAGTTTAGTCCCTAGTTTAGTCCATAGTTTAGTCCATAGTTTAGTCCATAGTTTAGTCCCTGATTTAGTCCATAGTTTAGTCCCTGGTTTAATCCATAGTTTAGTCCCTGGTTTATTGTCCAATAATTAGGAAGTGTGTAAGTAAAAGTCCGCTCTGGTCTAAAACTGTGTGTAAACTCATTGTGGTGAATAACTAGGACACTCTGAATGCATAAGGTAAGTGAGGAATAACTTTCGACCACTGCAAACTATTGAAAATTAACTACTTCTGTTTTTCACAGTTTTCTGACAGTAAAAATCAGATACGTTTCTTCCTCCATAGAGAATACTGCAAAGCGCTAGATCCAGTTGTAAAACATGCTGAGAGGGGATGGGATGTTGGCTGTGTGTTCCACCTTGCTTCACTGCCAAAGGATTTGTAAGACCTAAGAACACTTTAGACCAATGTAAATACCTGCTTCCTGTTTCACGTTTGGAACACAAGGTACCCGAGCTCTGAAGCGAGACAGTAGGTAAAAAAACAAAGAAACATGGAAGGCGTGAGATTAGCAAATATAAGCACACACCCATCCCTTGCTTCTGTGCATCTCCTTTTGACTAATATTTTGTATATGTGCAAATACAGAGCTATAGAGAATGTATTAACACGTTGCGAGCGTCTCCTAATCCATATTTGATTACCGGGATGAGTTGACCCATCTTGCAGTTCAAGCAGTCTTTGCATTGGCGTTTGGCGTGCTTTCGTGTCCCTTTCCTCCTCATTTGACAGACAAAAGCATTTCCAAGTGGTGAATTAAACAAAGTGTGAACTGCTCAACTGTGGATGTCAGGCTTAATCTGTTTTACAATTGAAAAATGTCACAGGAGGACACGCTATGACGATTATACAAGCAAAGGTGGGCGTGTAAATAAGGGTTACAAGCAGAAGTAATAATGCCATGAATTATTTTTTATCAAGCATTTGCTCATAGAAAATATCAAATTTTTATAGAAACTAATACAAGAATCACATTTTAGAGTACAAAAGCATACCTGGAGTTGTGTTTTGTTTCATTCACTCATGAGAAATCCTTTATTATTATGTTTACATCTCTGTTCCACCTTGTGATGTCATGAAGTTGTAGTTTTCAAGTTAGCAGCTGCATTTTGCCTTTAGTTCAGTAGAGATTTTCAATTCCAGGGCTGAAACTATCCAAATGATTCTAGTGAAGGTGTCTGGAGGTTAAAAACATAGTAGAGCACTTCACATGACATTACAATGTGAAGCAGAGTTTTTTTCTGTTTGAGAGAAGCCTAAATCTGCAGGGTTTCTGTGTTAAACACGTGAATGAAACAAAGCACAACTCCAGGTATGTGTCACGATTAAACAGCATCATAACTGCCCAATATCTGTCCTGTAATTTTGACTACACACAAAATCCTCCATGTTTTACATATTTTTCAATAGAAACTTTGTAATTTTGGATAAATGCAAGGACTCAAATTGATTAAATCAGATGAATCAGACATCATGTTTCAGTCCTGGTTCTGAAGGATCTTTGAAGGCACTTAAATCAGTGCTCCTAATCAGCGTTTACTTCATGTGTTTGACTTCCTGTCCAGACTCTAGTTAATCCTTCCACCTCTGCGTCTCTTCTAATCACCCAGCTTCCCATTTTCCATTCTCAACCTCTCTCTCTCTCTCTCTCTCTCTCTCATCTCCCCTCCTCTACTCCCCTCTCTTCTCCTTTCTCTAACCTCTCTCTCTACCCCACCTCTCTCTCTCTCTCTTTCTCTTCCTCTTCCTCTTCCTTTCAGTCTCTCCTCCCCCTTTAACACAGTGACATATCCTGAGCTGGAGATGAGGTCCAACGAGCAGCAGATGTTTTACCGTTTCTCTCTGAGGTCCTCAAGAAGATCATATCTGCTGGAACACGCTGGTTCTGCAAAGACAAGACAATAAGAGAAATTCAGTATATACAAGAGAGTATTGATCACTGGTATAAAGACTGTCTTGAGTTGTTTTGACAAGTTAAGGTTTGTTTAGTTTTAAGCTCAAACCAAGATCTCATGGCTGGTTTTATTTTCTTATACTGACCTTATTCTGCAAACCAAATCTACCTGCAGGTAGATACTGATAGTATTGATACTTTGCAGCTGATGTCAGCAGAGTTCCCTGGGGTGTGATGCTAACTGTAAGCATTGCTCTATCTGTGATTTATTACAATAATTTGAACTTTATTTTAACACAAACTGACCAGAAAGAGCTGGTCTAACTGGAACTGGTGAGCTGACTTGTGCTGTTAAACAAGTTTTTCTAAAACAGTCCTAAGTTAGCTAACATTAGCCAACAGTTTTTCACTTAATCACTCTCACCTTTTAGTTGAAAATCAAACACAGGCCCATGAACACTTGTATTGATTTTGTATTTTTCTTGAGTTTTTAGACTATCTTAAAGACAGCATCAACTAATATGTGCATTGTATTTCCATGGTAATGGCTGAACACAGAAATGCAACGTTCTTTTACAGGTGGACAGATGTGTTTTTGTTTTTTTCATGGCTGATACTCACATCGATTGTTTACAATCCAGAGATATTAATGGGCGATAAGCTCTGCTGATTTTGATTATTTTCCCCAAATCACCTAATTCGAATTTTGTAGGAACTCATCCACAAAAGTGTCTTACAAACTGTGTAAGAGAACAGTGCAGTCACATTATGTGCTGCGCCCTCATTACACAAAAGTGTTCAAAGACTAATACTTTATTCTCATATCGGACACTGATTTATTGCCAATTGCAGATACCCTAATATATGCTCATACGGGCCTGATATATCGACCAGCCAATATGTATCTGTAATACTTTTTATTTAAATGATAATTGACCATACACAGCTCTATAGTTTGATCTGAGTAGCTTTATGATACTTTGCTGAGTAATGTTTGTTTAAATGTTTAGTGGACATGTGTGACCTGTCCTTCAGCTGCTGCACTGATCCAGAAGGAATCCATCAACACAAACTGACAGCCCTGCTCTCATGTTTCATTTAAGACCAACTATTCTCACTCAAACACTAACAGCAGAGGGGGAGTTCAATAGGCTGCGTTCACGAGAAATCACAACATTGAAGAATCCCTAGAGTTTAAACGGAGTTGGAGGACAGGTCAGAATTCTGTGCTAACTGTCAGATTGCAGATTTGTTGACCTGGTTTGTGGTTCAGATCTCTTTAATTACTGGGCCTATCCACATGAAACAAAACATGGCACAAAGTTCAAAGTTTTCTCTGTCAGCAAAAATAAGTAAAAGTGAAATGATTTTTTCCATAATAGCCATTATTCACTCCCTAAACGCGTGCTTGTTGTCAGCTGAAAGGACCATATAAGATTAATATGGCAAATTTGGGAAGCCAATCCCAAACAAATAATCATAAAGTCAACATTTTTTCATGATGTGCATCTCATGGTACGATATTTATTGAAATATTTTGTAGAGACTAACAAAATTGTGAATATGCTACTTTTTCCTTTAAAAATGTCTTGACAAGCCTTTCGTTCTGTCTTAAACCAAAGAGTTAAGATTTAAAAGTGCTTAATAACTATTTCATTGTGTAAATTGGACTGAAAAAGAGCAAAGGATTATGGTCTATCTAGTTCCCTCTGTTTCTTTTAGCTATTGCTGCACCATAACTATGAAGTTAAGCAAAGAGACTTGAGATTCGATATATTGTGATCATCCACAATATTATTGAGAGAATTTTGGTGATACGATATCACAATATTTCAGTAACTGTTACATCCCTAAACATTTGTGGATCATAAGTTTGAAGATTTCAGTAAATCAGTGAATCTTCTATAGGGTAATATAGGCCTCTAAAATTTTAGGCATCTAAAATTATGACCTAAAATTATGTTAGTAGCAGTTTATTTAATCCACTATTTTTCTATGGAATATTTCAAAAGCAAAGTGGTGCCCAATACATATGAACAGCATTCCATGGACACAAGCAGGAAGTCAAATAAGAGTCAAGTTCGTGGAGATTTAAGATTTCTCTAAATTTGTGAAACTTGTTTTTTCTTTTTTTTATTGCAATACTTTTGGCTGAATGTTACATACTGGGACTTCCTTTAGACGTTTCTGAAGAAATTGTTCTGCTGGAAATGTATTGTTTGTATACTTTTCTTAAACTGTTGAATCTAATTGATCAAATCTCTTCACAACATACAAATTAAGTGCTTTCAAAAATCCAAAACTATCAATAAAAAGTGAATTTCCGTTTCAGATCTAATTAAAGGACGTTGTTGCTACGACGTGTATTGACTTTGACACAGGCTGATCTCAGGATTGATCCAAAGATGACAAAATCTTTACGAAATCTTTACTAACTGTTTTCATGTCAGTCTCAGTCACAACAAAACCTCTGACCACCCCCTGAGTTTTCACTGTCATAAAACACTGCACTGTCTGGTCTGAAACCACTCACAGATGTGGGGTTCACAAACACTGGTGCAGGGACCTCCAAGTAACACTGTAAACAGTTATATATACAGTAAACACTGTATGTTTTTATATGTATGTATATTTATTTTTTGGTTTTTTTTAGATTTGACATTTTAATTACAATAGAAGTCTTTTTCTTCATAATAAATATATGATTCAAAACTAAATGGCTAATTCTATAAAGTTATTAAAGCCATATTATTCTGCAACTTTCTTGCCAAAAAAATATGCAGCTAAAACAAAAGCATGTTTTTTGCATCCTCACTATGAGAGGGCTTGCATATCCATAAACCTGACTCTTATTTGGCCCGCTTGTTTCTATGGAAATGTTTGGCTATAATATTCGACAGTTTGGCATAAAATGTTTCTATCTCCATGAAGAATGTTCCGAAGTATCTGTTTTGACTTTGCACCTTCAGAAAATTACACACCGTCGCTTCAAGTTATGAAAAGTTATTTTCCCAGTGTTAACATTCTGAAACATGGACATAAATATATCTGCCCACTGATAAAGTATTCAATTGTTAAAAGATTTAAAATGTCTTAAATGAATGAAAGAAATGAATGAATGAGGGGCCACCACCTGCTTGTCTCCACAGAGATGTTTACTATGCTCTACATTTGATATTCATACAGAAGACATCAAGTATATTAAGTAAGATATATCGAATAATGTAGCAAAGAAAAATAGTAATATATTTATTTCACTTTTTATTTTTTAGATTTTATATTAAAATCCCCAAATCAGCCACCCTTTGCTTTGTCAAAAAAAATTACATATATAATTTTTGTATTTATTTTATTAAACTTTTTTTTCTTTACTACATAATTCCTTATATTTTGCTTCATATATTTTTTGCATCTAAAATGTAGTGTAGTACAGATAAATAAATAAATAAAAACATTGAATGAGATGGTGTGTCCAAACTTTGACTGGTAGTGGTCTTCTCTGTTCATTTAAGGCTGTATAATATGAGAAATAGCTATGTTTTGTATTACAACATTATCATTGAAAAAAAAAAAAAAATTTAATTTTTAAAACTCTTAAAAGATTGCTTGGAAATATTTTTTTGTCATATCTTGGCAATTTACATAGCTCTTTATAAGCTTTCATTTGACATACTTAACTCCAATTTGTCCAATTTGACTCACTTAAACCAACCCATGATAAAGACTCTTCCTTTGTAAACTCCAGACCAACCTTTTCCACGATGATGAGATCTCCTACTTGGATGCCGCTGCTTTTCACCTTCACCGTCCCTGGAACATGCAAAATAAAGAGTGGATTAATGATGCATCACTGACAGGTCATTTAATGGAACAGACGACGGCAAATGAAACAAGTGGCTCTGCATTAATGTTTCAATCAAATGTGCTAGTCAAATCTAATGGCTCTTTCTGCCTTGGGTCATGGTTTGCTGGGACTGCATGGGGCGAAGAAGATGTATAGAGTGATGCATAGACCAAGATGTTTATGTAATATTAAATAATGATATAACTTAAAAGGTCCTATAATACACATGATTGATTTGTGTGAGATTTAATCCATGTTATAATGTCGTTACCTCATCAAAAACAGACCTGGAGTTGTGTTTTGCTTCATTCAGATGTTTGAGTAACCCTTTATTATAGTCTGTCTATATCTCCAAACCTCAAAATGCTCTGTTCCACCTTGTGATGTCATGAAGCGGTAGTTTTCAAGTTAACAGCTACCTTTTACCTTACCTTTAGCTCAGTAGACTGGCAATTCCTGAGCTGAAATTATCCAAATTGTGTAAAGAGTTTAAAAACACACTGGAGCCCTTTATTAACCCCTTCATGTTTCGGCTATTTTTCCTAAAATGCCTCACTGAAATGACTCTCAATTCCAACTGAATCTGTTTCCAAACCATTTGGAGCTCAGATGAATGGCTGGACTCTTTGTGAAGCTGAGGCTCTGGAGTTGTAGTCTCTGCTTTCCTCTAATGGTCTCTGTATTCTCATTTGAATCAGGGACAAGCTCTACACAGAGGTAAGTCAGATTTCAAATTCCAACTGCAATTTTGGAAGTAAATATAAGAACAGTATCAGAGCATTTGTTAGGTCTTGACAATTCCCATGTCAAAGCTGAAGCAAGATTTAGGGAATGAGTCAAACAAGTCCAGGCGGAATTCATATATATATATCTATATCGATATATAGATATTGATATATAGATATTGATATATATAGATATGTAGATATATCTATATATATATAGATATATAGATATAGATATATATACACACACACATATATATATAGATATAGATATATATACATACATATATACATATACACACTAAATAACTAAATATATTTAGTTATTTAGTTATTTATTTATGGGTTTGGAGTACAGACTAGTCCAGACTATTCTCAGAATCATTGATTTGACTCAGAGATTTGACTGAAAATAAGTGGGTTACAGATTTACATGAGATTGAGATTTTCCTTTTATCAGAAGCTGGACAAACAGAAATGAATTAAGAAAATGTACAAGGGCCTTTATAAGGCCCCTCGGAACACGAACAGGTTAAGAGTGTTTTCTGTTTGAGAGAACAACTAAATATGCAAGGTTTGTGTGTTAAACATGTGTGAATGCAACAAAACACAACTCTAGGTATGTTTTGATGATCAAAAATTATAAAATAGATCAGAAAACACTGTCATATAGGCCCTTTAAACAGTAGCATAAACACAGCTGCAGGCTCAAAAAGTGTCAGTTCAACAAAATATGGGGGCTTTAAAGGAATGCTGGGTGGTTTAGGCATTTCTCCATTAGCAACGAACAGGCAAAAAATTGTTTGGAAAAGATTCTTGACCTTTGCCCTCTGACCTGACCCTGGGCTTTGCATATGTAAGGCATTAAACAACATTAATACAGCTATGCACCCATTGGTTTTCACTTTTGGTAACGTTAATTGCAACTAATAGCAACACTTGTGCAGCTTATAGGAGGGTTTCACATTACATCACAGTTTTGTTTAGTTATTTAGTGTTTAAGACGGGGGAGGAAAATGTGCATTGGTGATTTTCAGTTTATGCATTGAGGTAGGATAAATATACCAGGCAAACTGAAATATAGAGGAGACTGAAATACGAACTGTTAAACAAATACAAGAATCCAGAACATTTCAGAACAGGGTTAAAACTAGACTTCAGTAAATTCCCTGTTGAGATACATGAGTTTTATGCTGCACTGTGGAATATTATAGCCAAAGAAGCATTTCCTCCAGGCCAAGTTAAGAGTCTGGTTTGTGGAGATTTGTACGTTTTTCTGCATTTTTCAGTGCAATCAAACGAAAACAAACGATCCGAAACGAAAATCCTTTTTTTTGTCTATACAGCTACATGACGGGGCTTGAAGTAAGTATGTCTTTGTGCTAATTGCGACCAAATTGTGATTTCTCTTTAACTGCAGCTAATCTTTCAGCCCTCAGGTTCAACTATTGTGAATTCTCATCTTGGAAATTACTTAAAATAAATTAATATAATCACTACACTTCACTACAAAATAGGAATCACAAGAATCACAAGAATTATTGCTTGGATCACAACACAAATTATAATAATTTGTTACAATGATTTATGTACTATCAAAAGGAAGAAATGTTTTCATCTTTTAAATCCACTGTAAATTAAACAAGTGGCTTTGCTCCAGTTTTATGTTTTTCTTTAAAATTGCACATTTTTAGTACTTAACTGAGGCAATAATTGCAACTCTGATAAATATTTTATTAATTGCACAGCAGTAAATGCCAACAAAAAGAAGTCATTTTAACAAATCTGAACCAAAAACACACCCTACGCCCCTAACTAACTTGTAATCCCATTAATTACACAGAGCAGGGTGAGTTTTAGGATCGTAAAGTTCTTACACAGTGCAGATATGCGGTGGGGCAGCTAACGCGGAGGTATGCTCGCTGTAGTGTTTATGTGAAAGACAAGCTGCCACATCAAAGCTCCAGAGTGATGGAAACCACGGAAACCACCTCTGCTTTTTATGACCAGTAGCACTTTATCCAACAGCACATTTCCCCTTCTCCCCATAAGGTTTAACAGCCCACCACCTACAGTGCACAGATAAACCTGCAAAAACACGCCACACTGGACACAATCATATACACGTGGGGAGGGCTCGATTGACTTAATGGTTAAAATACTTGTAAACTAGAAGAACGTAGGGTTGCCAGAAAAATAAATATCCCAGAAACTAATTGATACTAAAACTAGTATCAAAACTGGATACTGGATATTTCAAGTTTCAATGCAGAAAAAAATAAATATATAAATTGGCTTGTGGTGATAATTACTAAAGCGACTTAACATTTATTAAAGATGGAACAATATATTTTGGAACTCAAAATTTAATAAAGTAGTTTCAATAATATCGTTTATCCTTACATTTCTGTAGCAATATATCGTGCTTCAAAATGTGTTATCGTGGTAGGCCTAATTAGAACAAAGTTCTCTTTCTTTAATAGTTTTGAAACGGTCTGTATCTATATCAGAAATAATATATGACCACATAATCTTTTAAACTAAACATTATTTTGTGATGAACATGACATTTCATTGTCTAAAAAGTATCTATTAGGGCTGTAGTCTCTTAATTGTTGAGTTCAGGGATTCTCTAACTCTTTTCGTACAAGGACCCCTTATCAGTATGAAAATATCCCAGAACAACTGACTGATCCTCAGGATGGCATCATTATACACAGTTTAAACCAAGGGTCTCCAACCATGTTCCTCTGGTGAGCTACCTTTACAAAATGAAAATGCCAGAGAGCTACTAAATTTTGTGGTCACAGGAAATAAAGTATAAATAAGAGCCATGACAAGACTTCGATGGGGTACAGTTAGATAAAACATAAAACATAAACCATTATTTATTTATGAATAATGGATTTACAATAGTAATAGGCATTTAATTCATCAGATTTGAGTTATTCAGGACAATACATGTAATTCAGAAATCCTTTGGCAAGCTATTTGAAAGGGGGTGGAGAACTACTGGTAGCTCCCAAGCTACAGGTTGGAGAACCCTGGTTTAAACCATGTTTAGACCATGTTTGGATCAAAGACTCATTTATCATAGTTCCTACTTTGTTGGTGTAGTTCTTTCCAAAAAAAAATACATGTTTGGGATGGTATATCATAGGAAACTGATGATCAAAGTTATCACAATTTTAGAGGAACCCCCTCAAACATGGCCCAGGACCCGGTTCCTGGACTCTACTTTGCGAACCACTGGACTCAGTTAATCGGTTGATGTTGTCTTAGTCTACTGAATTTGTTTAATTTAATAATTTTAGTAAGAATTTTTATGGGTCAACAGCAGAATGGAGAATGCACTGAGTAAGTGAGCCGAAAATCTGAGAGAGATTTTCCAAGTAATTCTCTGTACAATAAGTTGTTTTTGCCTGAAATCGTATGCAGTTGTGGTCAATCTGATCTAAAGCCACATCCCCTTTTTAGTAAACTAATCGATTGGCAGGACAAGTCTTTAGTCCAGCAAGACTTTCTTCAGTCGACCACAGCCCTGTGATTCATTACCTCTGGTAGAGAGCTTGCTGTAGATTTGTGAGTTGACTTCTTTGTCCCGAAGGTAACAGCGAATTTCATCCACAGCCTCTCGTAAAATGGTTATGAACAACACCGCGCCCTGGACACAAACATGGAAAAAAGTTTAGCACTGGAAATATGATGTCAACAGTTTTTACTTTCATTAATATTAAGTTAAAGTTGCTGTGCCTGACTTTTACTGTCTTAAAGTGCGGTCCAAAGTTCTTCCTCACTTACCTTTTGCATTGTGAACATCCTAATTATTCACCGTGATGAGTTTCTAAGCGCTTTTCAGAGACTAAAGCGGAGTTTTGCAATCACAGTAATTCTAACAACACCTTTCCTGATTCTCTGACAATAAAATACTTTAGAATTAGATGCAGACAAGACAAAATTTAGACCTCAAGAGATACTCATACAACATATCTGCACTGAGGCAAGTCACATTTGGCCCTGTCCCATACATTTGAGCTACATTAGTCTTTATTCATTAGTCTACAGATACTAGAATATTGTATGAAATGTGAAAAGTGCTTATAAACTCATCATGGTGAATAATTAGGATGCTCTAAATGCATAAGGTAAGTGAGGAATAACTGTGGACCACTGCAAAGCGTTTAAAATGAACCGGTTCTGTTTTTCCCGTTTTAGAAAAAGTCAGGTACCTCAAATTTAATGACAAAATTGCAATGCTTCTTCTCAAATTAATGGTAACACTAAAGTTTGACATGGGAACATTACTAGTGAGTGCATGTTAAAATAACTACTTTGTGTAATTTATGACTGAACATTGTGTCTTTGTGGCGTGCAGCATACCAGAGGGACCCAGTATGTGTAGAGGGCTCCTAATCTCAGCTCATTCACAAACTGAGAGCAGGCCAGTAGTAGAAAGTACAAGTTGAAGAAATACTTGAATTGATTAAATAGTACCTGTAAAAGAAAGGTCAAAATGTAAAGGTTAGTAGGGTGGTCAAAAGTATCAAAAATCAGATGCTAAAACTAGTACTGAAACTAGACACTCGTTTGAGCAGGTATCAGTACTAAAAAAGTCACATTCACAGGACAGAAATGAAGCTTTCTTAGAACCTTGAACCTTAGCTTTAGAATGATCTTGAGTTGTATCAGTAGAAGTGTTTTTATTATCATTGTGGTATCGAGTCTGTTCCTTAGTATCGAAAATCAGCTTAAAATGTTAATATTGTGGCACCATTAACGGCTAGTGATAATTGTCCAGTAAAAACATCCTTATTTGATAAACAAAATAATTTGCTGGAACATCATATTTGCATTTTATTCAACTGCTCAGTGCATCTTCTTGTTAGGGATTACTCTGAGCTAGTTCAGTGGTAATTTGGCAGATTTTTTGCCAGATACAATAACGACCATGTATATTTACAGATGGGACTCAGTCAACTCTTTGGTTCATAGTCTAATGATTAACTAGCTACACCACCTCTGCACAGTCTTTGTATAATGACAAAGGTAGTTTTTTGTATGAATTTTTTATGAGAAAATGTAAAATTAGAAATGCTTCTAAAACAAAAAGAACAGTAATAAGATTTAACAGATAAAATGGCAGGGTTGATACAATAAATGTACAATAAATGTAATCTGGTTTAGAAATCAGGAAAGACTTGTACACTAAGTATATATAAATAATGTTTCATAGTAAAAGCAAAAAACTTGAATGTATACATTTGTGGATTATGGCAGAGTATTGGGGTGTGCAAAAATATCAAAATATCGCTATATTGTTTCGTTTAATGTAATGATACAGTATTGATATCGGGGACAATTTTTTGGTATATTTTACTAAATTATTTTGTTACCGCTACATTTTTGTTGTTTAGAGGAAGGAAACTCGTTTATGCAACACACTTGACATTTTCACTGTTTTGAGGATTAAAATGGGCGTGTTTCATATAAACTTTGCACAAAAAGTGGTCTAACAAAGACTAGTGTCACAGCCATGACTTAGCCTTTATTTTTTATTGAACCGCATCAAATAGATTTGAAATACATTGTATTACACAGAAAGTGCACTGTATCGAGATATGTATTGTGCCATGGCCTATGTATCGAGGTATGTATCATTTCAGCAACTTCTTAATGATACTCAGCCCTAGTAGTGTACATACTGTTTTGAGGATAACAAACAACCAACTTAAAGCCACAGTATGTCACTTTTTAGCAAAGAAATAGACTAAAAGTTTGTTTGTTTTTAATTGGTCTGAAAAACAGATGTCATTATTCTGAGTAGGCTTGCATCTCCACAAACCTGACTCTGGCCTGGTCCTCCCTGCTTGTTTCTATGGAAATGTTGTTTCTTTGGCTATAATCTTCTACAGTATGACATTAAACATCTTCTATATATTGATGGAGAATCTCCAAAGTATAGGTTTTCTTTTTTCATGGAAACAAAAAGGTGACGTGCCACCTCCAGAAAGTGACAGATACACTGTACATTTAATGAAACAAGATTATTATTACTTGTGGTAATTAATAAATGTATTTATCATTCCCTGTGTTTAAAATAAAACAAACATTTATGTCTTCCTTTTTTCTGCTCACTTCCCTTCTCTCTCCCTTTCCCAGAAGGAGGAGCCGCTCTGCCTAAAACCATAACAAGAACAATATAGCCTGGACTTCTTGAGATGAACCAGTCAATAAAAACATCATAATTTGAATTGCAAAAATGCTTTGCTCTTGTCCTATGCTTTTCAAACAAATCGGAGCTACTTTCAATGTCTGGCTTCATAAAAAAGTCATAAGATCTTAAGACAACTAAATGTCTGGAAAACAAATACATATGTAAATCAGAGTAGGAACATGCGAGAGACAAAATCACACAGCTTAAGTCGTACTCATATTGTCACGTATAAAAAACATCTGAGTCATGGACTCCAATCTCTCAACATTTAATTCTCATTAAATACACCGAGATACTGTGAAAAAGGCAGGTTTAAGCACAATCGAATTAGAATGGACGCCATTAGCAAATTGCAAAGGCTGTGATTTTTGTAGTATCATAATTTCCTCCTCAAACCACAAAATCCAGTCTTATTCTGCTTAAAAGCTGCTAACCCTGTAGCTTAGATCTGTACAAACATGCTCTGAAATGTGATTGTCATTTAATATTACTCTGAACAGACACGTATTATTAAAGCTTCCACATTACGCAAAATTGACTCCTGTGACCTTTAAGCCATGTTAGAATGTTGTTACGTCATCAAAACCATACCTGGAGTTGTGTTTTGTTTCGTTCACACATGTTTGAGTAACCCTACATTATTAGTTTGTCTATCACCAAACCCCAAAATGCTCCATTCCAATTTGTGATGTCATGAAGTGTATTTTTCAAACTATCAGCTACTTTTTATATTTAGTTCAGCAGAGATTGGCAATTCCAGAATTGGCATTGTCTAAATTATTATAGTAAAGGTATATGGGGTTAGAGTTGAGATGTGTGAATGAAACAAATGCAACTCCAGGTCTGTTTGTGGTGAGAAAACAACATTATAACAGATCAGAAAATAGTGTAACATAGACCATTTTAAAACATACACTGGAAATATAATCATCATGCTTGCCAGAAAAATTTAAATTTGATATTTCCCCGTATCATTCGGCCTGTGAGACTTCTGTTTAATTATATAAAAACAAATAAGCATCTATATCAAACACATTGTTTTAACCCAATAGTAAAACGGCACACATCATTTAACCTAATTTGGACAGCTCCATTGCAGAAAACATGAAGAAAATCTACATATTTCATCAGAATTCATTTAAATACCAGTAAATGACAAAAGTCTCTCACAAGGACATTTTAAAAGAATATACTATACTAAATAATTGTAATGTCCTGATAATATAAGGAATATATTGCCATGGGTTTAATACAGGTTAAGATACACATAAGCTTTTTCTCAGTTTAGCTCAACTTGGACTATTCACTTAAACAGGTGATCATGTTGAGGGCCCTGGGCTTGGGCAAGATGCACCACTACATTACTGTACCACTTGAATATAGAGAATGACAGACACATAAAAAGCAGATGGCAGGACACTGACCCCGGGTAAAAAGGTGAAGAAGTTGTATTTCTGGTTGTTGATGACATTTCGGGGGAACCTCTGTTCCCTCTTTTCTGGATGTCCCAACCACACTGTGCGAGGACGCAGCTCCCCCATCCCACAGCAGCGTGACCATGGGCAGCAGCTGAAACAAAGGGACATGAAAGTGTCAGTATCATGACAATAATATAATACCATGTTCATTTAGCTAAAATAATAGTATACATCTACGAGTGTTGTCACAATACCAAAATGTTTAACTTGATATCAATACTCTACTATATTATCATAATATTTTGAAATGTTGTATATCTGTTAAAGGGGTGGACCTCTGGGACAATTGTGCAGAACAACTAAAATTGTGCTCCACTCTCTTCCATTTTAAAAAGAAGTTTAAATGTTTAACTCTGGGCAGATACATGAATTATGATACTTACTTTGTGCTATAGTACTTTGCTGTATTGTTATTGATTTTTTTTTGTTTCCTCCTGCTGTATTTATGAATATGAACTGTCAAGATGACATCATGACAAAGGAATAAAGGGTAGGCATAATAAGCTCAAGCTTCAGCCTACCTTTTTGGACAATGTCTGTTAAATATGATTGTGGAATAATGTCAGAATATAACTGTGTGACTGAAATAAATTAATCAATCTATATAATCTCAGTACTGTTCCAATACCATGATGATAATAAAAAACACTCTTACTTTAGAAAATGTGATTTTCAACATTCACACTCAGTGGTTCAGGTAGGTTCCATTGTGGTCCATGGGCGTATACTAGTCTATGTGCTCTTATTGTTGATCTGATACAGCTCAGGATCATTCTAAAGCTTCAGGAAAATGTCATTTCTGTCATGTGAATGGAACTTTTGTTAGTATTGATACCTGCTTAAATGTGTATAATAGTTTCAATAAGTATCTGATTTTGGATACTTTGACAACCCTAACAACTAAATTATAGACTAGGAAGATGGGGGATAAGGCAAAAACTGAATCACATTTTTTCCTCATATTGACCATCTACCAGCTATCTATCTTTTCTGTGTTAAACTAATAAAAATGCTTTCTATATTTATTTTCTCAACATAAACAACTTTAAAAATTGCCAGTTAACAAATTTTTTTTCCTCCAAAGTCTGAAATCTGCCACACACAAACCACACACTTTTCCTGACAAAGGATCAGTTCAATTTGATTATTATTGAGTATTTTAGTAAAGTTTAAATGGTGATTTTAAGGACTAAACTAGGATCTAAGGACTAAAACAGGTCTAACCCTTGGAGAACTAAAATGAGACATTAATCAATACAAACTGATTCTAATTCAGAATCAAATCAGGGCTTAACTAGTCAAAGTGAGAAAGTGTCTGCATATTGACCTTTAATTTCTATAAACCTTTCAGTTCAACTACGATAAAACAAAACCAAAGAACTACTGTCACAATGGTAGATTTCCACAGCGACGGATGTTTATTTACGTTCCATCCTGAGCTCTACTGATACTTAACAGTGGCACCATGCTGGGGGTGTTCTACATGTATCTCTATGGTGGAAAGTTTAGGAGTTGGTGGTGACACAATGCACACATTTGCAAACACTGTCAAAAAAGTTTTAAGATAGTGTGAACACTCAAGAAAAAATACAAAATGGATTTAAACCACACATTTTCAGCACCCTATGATGAATATGAGTCCATGGTCCTGTTTTTGACTTTTCTGGAAAAGGGTGACAGTGACTTTTATTCCAGTAGCCACATTCACACGATAGCCACAAATAGAGCTTCGATTACAAGGGACTGTATTGTCTGGTAAGCCCCTAAAGATGTATTTACTTTAGTCATCATTACTATTTATAGTGTGTCAGATAACCTATGATTCAATTATTGTGGTGTCATATAATCCTTGGCCTTTTCCCTTTATCTATTATTCATAACCTCAACAAACCAGCCACAGTTTGACAGGTATTATTTATGCCAGATGCCCTCTCTGTTGCAGCCAACAGCATAACAAATCAGCCGCAGGTATTATTTATGTCAGATGCCCTCCCTGTCACACCCAACAACATAGGACTGGACTGGGCATAGTGGGTGAAGTGTCTTGCCAAAAAAAAGCACTATGTAATTATTATACTATGCAATTGGGAGAGAACTGAATCAGCTACCCTACAGTTAGTGGGTCTAAATTCAACCTACTGCACTACGGTCACCTAGTTTCAGTGTATTTTACTGTCAGTCTACTGGATTGGTTAATATTTACTCTTGAATATGCAAGGAAATTGTGGCTTGAATGGGTTGGGCAACATTTCACCACTGTGTGCCAAATATGAGCACATAGTACATAGCGTAACCACTCCAAATAACTATTCTAGCGTTCATTTTGTAAATAATATCAGAAAGCATGCAGATATAACGACATCTGTGTGTATCTGGTTAGCAATTTTAGCAGTAGCAGGGCAGTGAACCGTGCAAATATTGACATCATGGGCGTTTATGCACTGCTCCCCGGATCAAGGATGCCCATTGTACCAGAAGCTAACTTAATATGAAAATGATCAACTAAATGTGCATATAAGCTGCTATTTAGTCGTGTTATATTTGATGAAACATATGTTATTTGCTGATAATCGCTGTAGTTTCTATGTTAAAGCTATCGCGCTACTGTAAACACTATACTTAGCGCGTTGTAGCATGCTAGCCGCGCACGTCAACACGCTGATTTCCACATTTGTTTTCTTACCCATTTCTGTTTTTATTGTCATTTCTTTTGGGTCGTCTGACGGGCTGGAGGGGGATGTTGTCCGTCATTCTTGCAGCCCCCTGAACACCGAGGCAGGACGCGGTGACAGTCCGATAATGAAGCGACTCTGGGCGGAGGCTCCTGGTCCACTGTACCGCTCCACAGAGCGCACGGAGGCTGCGTCAGGCTACCGCACATGTCACTGGAAAACAAAGAAAATCTACTAGTATTCTATTTATTTCGCTTAAAATTAAGAAAAAGATTTGTTTCGTTGCTAATTTAAACATACTGTTCTAATTTGTAATTGAATTTAGGCTTGTCATTTTTATGTTTTATTTTCAAATTATCCAATGTTAGGCAACAGGAAACCATTTATCTAACCTCTACTTTTTTTTTGTTTTTGTTTTTTTGTTTTTTTCAAATTAGGACTTAAATTTGCAACTTTTCTGGTGTATGGTCAGCCACTTGCTTGCATCCGTTAATGTGGCATTGGCTGAAATGTTCCACAGTACTGCATTAACCTCATCTTTCTTGCATATATTACAGGAAATTACAGGTGTTTTCTTTTTATAATCATATGAAAAACATTCAGTGTTATTAAGAATGGGTTCGCCTCTTCACAGATCTGTCATGTAACTTGACCTGGTGCTGCCAACATGGAGACATAACTTTAATGCCATACTGTGGATTATTCCAGGTAAAGCAATGACATTCTCATGGGGGCAAGTTATTACTTTTTATATTTTGTATTATATATGTAACATGTGAGTTTTGTATACAAGTAATTTCCCTTATGGATCAATATAATTATTTGTAAAATCCCAGGATCCATGGCAAAGGTGAAATTCAATTCTGTCAGCTGGACTAAAGTTTTTTGATGGAATATGTTTGGCAGTTCATCCAAGCTGCTTGTGCAGTTCAGAAGTGAAGAAGCAGCTTGGATGAGCTGTTGCCATCAATATAGTTTGTTTGTCACGTAGTCAAGTGTCAAGTTACATAGTTCTTGATGAGATAAGCTACTTTGGTTATAACTAATTTTAGTGATCCACAAGGGTTTTGGTTTTGTTTTGCCAAGTAAAATATGATTCAAATTCAGGAGGACATTTTTTTCCATTGCCAGATTACACAAAAGACCTCATTATAATACCAAATAATTACATTTTGTCTAGACAGTACTTTTAACAGTGACTGAATCACACAAAAATTAAAAAAAAGACTTGAATTTAGAGCATGCCTCTGGTAGATTGTTGTAGACACAGATCCTAACCCTCCAAGCCCATATAGCTCAGGGCGAGTGACACTCAAATGAGAATCCTGGCTTGGATTGCCCATGTTTTGCATGCAAATATGAAGTCATTGAAAATGCAAAAAGGCAGGATTAATGTCTGCTCATGTATCTCAAGAACAGAGAAATGTATTTTTCCCTGGGTCACTTGGAGGCGTACAAATGTAAAGTAGGGACTGAGCATGCGTTTGAGGGTGGCCATGTAGGGAAAGTCTGTTCAGCTGCTGGTAAATGAGCTTATTGGTGGAAGACATTAAAGAGGTTGTCAAAAGTAAAAATCTGATGCTAAAACTATATGGAAACATTTGAGCAGTCCCATTCACAGGATAGAAATGAAGCTTTCCTAAATAGCTTTAGAATGCACATAGACCCATATATGCCCATGGAGCACTCCGGAACCTTCCTGGACCACTGAGGGGATTACACAGATATAAGACCACATCGGAATCGAAAAGAAAGTACTATAATTTAATGTTGAAAACCACATAAAGAGTGTTTTTTTTATTATCATCGTGGCATCAGAATCAGTATTGATGAGCATTGAGTCTATTCCTTAGTATCAAAATCAAGTTTGAAATGTTTGTATCATGACAACAGTCCAGGTAGAGGTAGACACCTGGACTCATTGATTTTAAAGTAGTGTGCCAGGGAACAGAAGTGTGCTTTGGGAGACTGCCAGGTGTGTCTTGAAGAAAAATCCAATTTGAGTTTACTGATTCACAAGGTCAATTATTGTCATATTTGGACATTTTGAAGTGGCCTAAGCAAACTTAGAAAACTATTAAAGACACAGAACAATCACTGGTAACAAAATCTCTAGCCTCAGACACAGTGACATAGACACTTTTTCTTTTCTGGGTTAGATTTCATAATGCTTTGGTGGATTTTAAATAAAACAGTGAAATAAGTTGACTGACTCTGGACCACACAGGCGATTATTTTTGGAATATGGAGTAAAAATGTGATTTGTTGCTCCTATTCAGTTTTTACTTTTTAATAATAGTTTAATTTGATATTATTTGTCATTTTAACAGCAAGCATGTAAGTAATTCTACCACTAGAACTTCAGTAACATCATATTGCCTTGTTATATAGACTTAAATTTAGAGTTCCAAGCCTTTTTAAAGGTGTTGTGGCTCTGTCAGATTGATGTAAAATGCATCCATCTGAAGGACAAGCTGTACTGGGCACCTGTCTGGGGCTCTTCACTACAAATATGTATTTTTATATGCGACCCTCTGTGAAAAAAGTTTGGACACCTGAGGACTACAAGAACCAACTTATACCCTGAATAAAGAGGTGTATCCAGGGAAACAAACGGATGATGCATAAAGAGAGCAACCTCAGATGACAAGGTTAGACTCAATCAGACTCATATGACACTTTATTTATATTTTAGGTATGGTGGTTGGAGCACATGCCCACCAACTTGAAGTCTGGTAGTTCAAGTCCCACTCAGACCAGTCCTTAATGTTGTTGTATCCTTAGGTAAGACATTGTTCCCTGCCTATGTATGTGGTGTGGGCATGCTTGAGGTGGTGCAGATTGGCAGGATCACTTAAATTATTCTGTCCCACTTAGTATGGAGCAATTGAATAATGCATGGACGAGAAACTGAAATTGAGTGTCTGGAAAAACACTATACAAGACTATTGTATTAGTATAACATTTGAACTCAAATATGACCAGGTAAAACTCACAAACAATGTTCTGGTTGGACAAAATTGCCCAAGTTAATTAGAGATGGTTCTCACTTTTTGTTTTTGGTTTTGTTTGATACCAAAGCAGAGATGGAACATTTCATTCCTTAAAATATTGTGCTTGTTGATATATGTTAAGTATGAACTATCTGAAGAAGTAAATACATTTGATAAAATCACATATAATCTATAATGATGTATATGATGTCATGCACCCAGATAAGGCAAAAGACAAATTTCCCTATAGCAGGGGACTCCAACCAAGCTCGGGAGCAAGGGGTTTTTGAATTACACGTACTATGCTGAATAAGTCAGATTTGATCAATTAAATGCCCATTTCTAGAACATGGTTGGGATATTAATCTAAGTTCTGAGTAATATGAAGTGTAAGGAAGCTGAAATTTCATGTGGGGCTACAAAACACTTCAGAAAACATGCCAGAAAAAAGAAAAGAAAATACATTTGTTTAGATTTAGAGTCATTTTAAAGAAGTTTAAATAACAGCAGTTAAGGCTCTGATGGCCACACCACATGACATTTTAACACTTTAAGTACAAAAAACATGCATAATAACTAAGGATTTCTGAAAAAAAAGGATTTGGTTTCATGGAGGTCAGAGGTATTAGAGATATGTGGTGAATTATTATGAAATTTAAAGCTTTTTAACTGAAGAAATTGCAATTGGACAGAAAGTTTAGGCATCATGTCATTGACCCATAGGCATCTAACTCTACCTCATTAAGGCTCGGCACTTAAATACACTGTACCCCATTTTTTGTGACCACTGAAACTAGTAGCTCCCTGGCATTTTCGTTTTGTAAAAGGTAGCTCACTGGAGGAAAAAGGTTGGAGACCCCTGCCCTTTTTAATATTTCATGGCAAAGCACAGTGTAAATTCACAAATGTCAAAACTGATCATTTCTATTGGACACAACATCACTCTGTTTAACAAAAGTGTGCATTTTAACAAGATGAATTTGAACTGCCCCATCTGTATTCAATCAAACTGCCCTATAGAATGCTGTAATGTCATCTGAAACTCAGCAATAACATTATATTTCAACACTTTGGGGGATTAAGGTTAGAGTCTATTCATATTTTGTGCCATATTTAAACCTGAGCCTAGATAACTGACACATTTCAATGCATTGTTAAAATATTGACTGAATCCAATTATAATGCGAACAATTTAGAGCCTTTCACCATCCAATTATTTTTCTATTATTGGCCAAGTACCAACACTGAAAACATTTAAAAAGTCACGCTGATTTTAATTCTCAAAATCAGAAACATTTACATGAAGAAAACATTTGAAAAAAAACGTAAAATGTACAATGTAAACAGGCCGAACTTGGCACATTTCTTGAATTGTAGAGACAACTTGAAAGCAGTTTTGACATGGTTCGCTAAAAAAGGCACAACTTGGCAAATGCATAATATTGTACAGGAATGTATAGCAAGTCCTACACGTATTAAACCACTGAGTAAAGTGTCCCGTGTTACAATCATGTGTTCAACTCAGCAGGTAGACGCTGATAATCCATCGCTTTAACCCAAAAAAGTTATCAGAACATGCAAAACACAGTGCAGAGAGAAGGGGGCACAGACTATATATAGAGAAATGAGGTAGAACTAGCCCCTACCCTCAAACAATGTGTATTATAAATAAATTAACGCTACAAAAGAGGAAACATCAAAAATAAACTTAAAAAACCTGATGTAACTGAAGAGATTTCAAAATGTATTGGTAAAAATGGAGTATATTGTAACTAAAACCTGATATAAAGTGCAGGCATTAAGAAGAACAGCAAGCCTCCTGAGAAACATCCTCTTAGAATTTTCACGGACAACATTTGCAATATAAAAAAAAAAAACTGAAAATATATGAAGAAAAAATAAATTAAACATAGCTGCGATTGTGGTTACAGTATTGGAAAAACAACGACGAGTTAGGCACTTGAAGATGAGTAAACTACGGCAGCCTGTAGAGTCCGTAACGCGCACGTTTTAGTGATATCAAAATGAGTGACGCAAATCAGGCAGAGATTCTAAAAGGATTTGACTAAACCTCACGAAATTTTAATGATGAAAGGTTGTAAAATCCGTGTCACGCAATACAAGTAGTCACATAGAAAGCACAACGTGGTTAACTACATTTAGTTCTGAACAAAGAAATTAAATATGTCCGTTTAAAAGTCTGGCCCTGAAACAGTTTATAATAAGAAATACAATCCTTCAAAGTACCAGGGAGACGAAATGCAGTAAAGTTTCAAGTAAGTTCTACATTCAAACTTCTATAGACAAAAACGTAACTCAAAAATACCCGCATGTGTAAGTATTAAATGTATACGAAATAATATTACAACTACAGTAGTACTGTCAAGTCCAACTACAACGCTTGGTATAGTTTTCAGATCAGCGAGAGCAGTTTTTATTTTCAATCTGGAAAAGTTAAAACCAAAACGGAGCAAAAAATATACAATAATTTCTATGCGATTGTACCACATTTGATAAAGACACATTCATTAGGACAAATGCAAACTCATCCATTAGTTAAAATGACCTGATTTTACTCAATATGACTGAATAGTTAAGACTTGTTTTTGAATCAGAAGCTTTTTCCAAGTAAAATTATCTGTTTGTCGAATTGTAATATATACACAAAAATTGCAGATTTTTTAAAGAAATATTTAAATACTGTGTAATGTTCGATCATTCTTAAAAGATGCACTATGTAACTTTTTGGATGGAGGTCTGTCATCTGCTTGTTTCTATGGATACGTCATTGCTCTGCCTGGAATGTTCCACAATGTGGCATTAAAACAGCTCTACATTATATTTATTCAATTACAAGTGGTTTTATAGCTCAAAAATACCTAGAAAAACAGGAAATCTGACTGAGTGAGGTCGCCTCTCCACAGATCTGACCTGTACCTTGGTCTGGTTTGGTTTCCATAATGCCATACTGTGAAACATTCCATACAAAGCAATAACATCTCCATGGAGAAAAGCATTCGATGGACCTTCCACCAGAAAAGTTACACAATGCACCTTTACGTCCAAGCTTCTAAACTTGTCAAAACTACTCAGATCAAATAGTCATCTCAACTAATCTAGATATAATTTGCATTTTAGTTCACTGCGATTTTCCCCTCTTCCATGAAATGTGGAAATTGTGTTTTCGGCGCGCCATCCGAACTGTTCTTCTCCATGTCTCCAATCCCGCCCGTCGACCCGATCAGAGGTCCTCCCGCGGGGCTACCTGGGATCGGTATCCCCCCTCCCTGGATGACGGAGATCTCGTTGGCCTTCATGGTCAGGCCCCCACTGAATGCCGCGGCGTACTGGTTCCACAGGGAGGGGTCGAAGTTCAGGTGGGGCGGGGGAGGAGGGGGCGTGGGCAGGTCTTTGGGCGTGGGGAGCATCTTGGGGTCGGTGGTCATCGCCATCAGAGCCATGGGGTTATCCAGAGACAGGCGCTGGCCACGTCGGGAGTTGTTGTTCCACATGTGAGTTCCAATATGCACCTAAATGGAAAAAAGAAGATAAAAAGGTTAGATAAAGTACAAGAGATTTCACTGGCACAACTCAGCATTTTGATTTTCCTAAGCAGGGCCAGAATGTCTAGAGACACTGGACTTAACATCTTGGCTACTAGGATTTAGAATTTGCATGTTAGAATTTACCATTATAAAAGCAATTTTTTTCCTGCCATCTTAGATTTATTTATTTTTTGTCAAAGTTATTTGGGGAAAGAAATATTGATTGAAAAGAAGTCAAAACTGATTTGAACTGTATCAATGAGTAAATCACAAAGTGACTACATTTATATTTTTAAAGCTGCCAACCCTGAAGTTTAGACCTCTACAGACATGTTCTGAAATATGGAGATTGTTGTATTAGTTCAGCAGTTCATATGGCAGTCTTTCTCAAATCACAGATCTAAATAGTTATTTTTAGAAAAAATATGAATGAAATTCCTAAACTCATATTCAGATTCAAACTCATGTTTTCACAATACTAAAACATCATCAAATTTGATTTTGATAACAAGGAAAAAGGCCTAATACTTAAGGTTTTTGGAAAACACAATGATAAAAGATTTTCTATAAAAGTTTACAATTTTTTTTATACAAAATGATACTTCTTTTTTTTTAACTTAATTCATTTCCTGATATGAAAACTATTCTAAAGCAATTCAAGAAAGCTCCAGTTCTCTCCCATTAGTAATTTTTGACTGTTGGTACTAGCACAAATACGTTTCTAGTTTCAATACTGGTTTTAATAAAACATACCTTGAGGTTTCCTTTGGTGGTGAACGCCCTTCCGCAGATGTGGCAGGCGAAGGGCTTCTCTCCGGTGTGTGTCCTCTCATGGATCTGCAGAGCACTGGCTGAACTGAAGTTTTTCCCACAGACGTTGCACAGGTGCTGTTTGCTCTGCCTCCTGGGGGCCGCAGAGACAGAGGAGGCCATGGCGGTGCCCTGGGGCATGTGAGAGCTGAACAGGCCGTGAGCGCTCAGGGGGTTTTCAGGAGGAAGTTTCATCTCCAGACTGGCCAGGCTGGGGGGTATCCTTATGAAGGGCATACTGCTTTGACCTGCACAGAATATCATAGAAACAAATATTAGATAACTGGATTAGATTGGATATCTGGGGCCCCTTTTATAATCAAAAGATAGCTTCTGCGGAGTTCCCATTTTACAAAACTTCCATAGAATAGTATGAACTACTCTAAATGCATTTAAAAGGTTTGTAAAATAAATAAATGCATAAATAAAAGATACATGTTCAGTCCTGTGACGATTAGGATGCAAAATCACAATGTGCAAATGAGTTACACAATACATGAGTTAACAACTGTCAACTGTAGTTTAGATCTGTACAAACAATAATGCAGTTCTTATTAGTTCATATTTCATTGTGCTTTCCTCAATTATTTTGGTTGCATAAAAATGTGAGCTTTGGGACAATTTAAAAGTTCAGTCTTGTCTGACTTAAAACATAAGTGGTATTAAGTGCAGTTAGTAATTAAGGAATCTCAGGCCAATGTTGTTGGTTTTTTTTGTATTAGTAGATTGACATTTGATAAAAGTCTTAAATATGAACCCATAATCATGTTCAAAATGTGTAGTTTGAACTGAATGTTGATCCTAAAAATTATATTAAATTGCAATTAAAATAAAAATGATCAAGAGAATTTATTCAGAAATAATTTTAAATCGAGTCCGAGTGTCGTTAAACATACCGTAGTCTCCATTAGTGTAAGGGGTGGTGGGCTCCTCTTTGATTGATTTGGGGGTGAAGCTGCCAGAGGACGTGAGGTCGAGAGCTCCACTTGACTCTGTTCCATCTTGGGCTCCACTATCAGAGTCTGGCCTGGACGCACTGGACCCAAACTCCTCCGAATTGGGGGACTTTCCGTTCATCATACTGGAATTTACGGGAGATGAAGACGACATAGCGGAGTCTGAAATAGCTGGGCTGCGACCATTGTGATAGTCCGTTTCCCTGGGAACAGACGGAGACTCCCTCGATGTTTCGCTTTCAGACGCTGTGCTGGTTTGGCGTTTCAGAGCTAGAGCAGACGTGAGGTTTTTGAGCACATCCAGGCTGGAGAAAGCACTAGGAATGGTTGGATTTTCTTCTGGAGCAGGGGTGACTGGAGCAGATGGTTCATTGGATTTGTCATTACTCAGGTCAGCCTCTTGGTCCTCCATCGTGGCCTCAAACCCACTTGTGTCTAGTGACTTCTCATCTGGGAGAGAGGAGTCCATGGCTTCGGTCGGTTCAAACTGGTTTTCTGTGACCGGCGTGTTGGGGATCTGTCCGCCCATGTGCATGCGGATGTGCTGCTGGAGGACCACAGCGTTGGTGAACTTCTTCTGGCAGATGGGGCAGGAGTGCTGCATTTTGAGTGGCGTGTTGGCGCGGTGGACCCCGTAGTGAGCCTTCAGGTTGCCCTTTGTGGAGAAGGCGCGGCCGCAGATCTTACACTTGTGTGGTCTCTCTCCTGTGTGTGTGCGGTAATGCATTTTCAAGGAGCTCTGGCAGCTCAGGACCCTGTGACAGATCAGGCACTCGTTGGGGTCATTGGTCCTCTTCTCCAGCCCGTCCACCATCTGCTGCAGTTTGGCTGTTCCAGAGCTTTCTCCAGAGCCGTTCATCGTGTGGAGCGCCCCCAGCAGGTCTTTGGAGTCCTTCTGCGCCTGGTCCAGTCCTGACTCTGGGAACACAGAGGAAGATCCCTCACTGGTGGACGGGGACGGCCTCTGTGAGAAGCTCTCTGAGCCGATGAAGGGGGGCAGACCGGAGGGCAGAGAGGGGGGTAGGCCAGTGGGCAGTTTGAGGTCGGTCAGGTTGGACTCATCCAGGGGCACGGACATGCCGAACGGGATGCCGCTGCTGGTGGGCACATTGTCCAGGTGCTCGGGCACAGGGTGAGGGTTCATGGCGATATTGGGGTACTTGTCCTTGTGCCTCTGGAAATGCACTTTGAGGTTTCCTTTGGTAGTGAAGCGGTTCCCACAGATGTTACACTTAAAGGGGCGCTCTCCGGTGTGGGAGCGCAGGTGGATCTGCAGAGCACTGTCATTGCCGAAGGTTTTGCCGCAGTATTTACACTTGTGCTTGTACATGGGGTCACTGGGCTTGGTTTCTGTAGGCAGACTCAGCAGTTTAGCCTTGGCCTTTTTGGAGGCATCTGATCCACTGAAGGTACTTGGGAAGCCCATGACTGGCGACTGGGGGAGTAGTGCTGGTATGCGGCTGGCCAGGTCTGGAAGGCCCTTTAAAACATCCATCTTCCCCAGAGCTGAGGTTGGAGCGCTGTTGGACAGAGGTAGTTTTCCTGGTTTGGTCTCCATGGGCAGGGTTTGGCCGCCGGTCCTCTTCCCGATGAGAGCAGCTGCTGCAGAGAGCTGCTGGGACAGGTGGGCCCCCAGAGCTTTGAGGGGGTCCATGGCTCCAGGTGTCAGGCCCTGGGGCGTCATCATGGCAATCTGGATTCTAATCTGCTCTGTGAGCTGGATCTGTTGTAGCTGCTGCTGCTGTAAAACAATGAGTTGCTCCAGGAGCAGAGGGAGCACCTGCGCTGTGTCCTGTGCAGAGCTAGAGCTGTTAGACACATGCTGAGACACAGCCACTTTAGTATCAGCCAGAGCCTCCAGAGTCACATTAGAGTCTTGAGGAGAGGAGGAGGAGAAGCCCCGGTCAGAGAGCTCTGTGTGGGCTACATCCTCCACAGAGCCCTCCTCCTCCGCTGGAGCTTCAGGAGCAGCAGTAAGAGAGGGGCTGCTCGACTGGCCATCCTCTGGGTCACTCACATCAGGAGAGCCCTGGGCGAACTCCTCTGGCACAGAACCGTCTCCCTCTTTCATGATCACAACCTGCTGATTTTTAGTGCAACTCTTCTCATGCTCCAAGAACTCTGCCTCATCGAAGAACTCAGCACAGCAGCCGTTACACACACGTGTCTCATCCATACGGAACCGCTTCATCTCATTCCCAGGCTCCTCGTGGTCTGTGATATCTGGGACAGAAGAAAAAAAACAAAAACACACATTAGTACAACAGATTCAAAAATAGAGAAGTCCTCAAGTGAGAAAAGTAGTTTGGGTCAGTAAAATTATTTCTTGCAAGTTGATTTGATGAGACAGAATTGGGACTTTGTGTCACAGATTAATTTGTCTACGGCCAACAGAGGGCGCCATTCTACCTGTGACGCAACTGAAAAGAGTCAGTATAACAACGCGCTTCATGTTCTACACTAACTACGGCATTTTAAATTAAGATATTTTAGCCACGTTCTTTTAATGTGTAAATCTATGCTGTTTGCAATACATCCAGAGAAATAAAGGACCAAAACTGCTTACACACTAGAAATGCAAATACTGGTCAAACAACAATGACAAAATGCTCACTGGGTCAGTTGTCCAAACCATGCATTTTAATGTGGGCTACCTGTGGCACACCGCGTCACCACAGCACAGAATGGTAATGCAGAGTTTAAAATGAAAAGACAAAGTGAAGGTGCTAGACGCATAGTTTGCATTTTTATGGAGGAAACCATTTGACTTGTTAATCTGGTGACAAAGGAACAATAAAACTACTCCCTTAACTGAAATACTTTTGATAAAATCGGTAGAAAAGATTTGGAACGGTGGTCTCGGTTTCACTCACACTCAAAATCTGATTATAATAATTCAGATTCTTTTAATAATAATAATAATAATCTTATAAATCTGGCGTGAATGATCGGATTTCTTTCTGATATCGGTCCCTTTACGCATGAGTTTCCAGTTCGAACGCAGAAGGCTATAAATAATCTAAGAAATCCAAAATATGAGGGAATATTTAATAGTTTTAAATGAATTTACAGTAGACTATTCTAACATACATTTTTATTATCTTAAGCTATAAACCATGAGTCCTTACAGATCAAATAAAGAAAGAGGCCTACATTTAGGGTGAGTTCTCTTGGAAGGATTAAGATTTAGACACGATCGTCACAATAATTCGGCCAATAAAAAGTTCAGCGCACATTCACAACTGTAGTTTCCACTAATAAAAAAAAAATAAAAATAAAAAATCCACTGTAAAACTGTGACCCACGGTGCTGTATGTCCACTTGGCGGCGCATGACCCGATCACCTTTAGCGGGGTATATGGCACGAGGTCAGACGATATTTGATTTGTGTGCGTCCGCTAAAAACATTAGGGAAAAGTTCAAAACAACAAGAATACGAGTGGATTACTTTCGACTATTCAATCATATACAATCATCTTTTATCTTACAAAAGGGTGAGTTCTATGTTAATTTTATGGCAGCACCAAAACGCACCCCCACCCTGCCCTAAACCTCTCCACAAAAAAGCGTCCATCCCCCACCGCTCCATATGTACCAAAGGAAACAGTCATGCATTAAACTGGGGGATTTATTGCCTTTAGGTCAGCGCTCCGCAGAGTCACATTTCATACAGTTTTTGGGCACCTTTGTCTCGAACCACTTCATGCACATGTTACAAACTTAAGCCAAACTAAACTCCCTGACCAAAACCACGAGCACGAAGCGCAAAGTAAACTTAACAGTAGAAGTTGACACGAGTTAAATATATAGAAGAACCCAAAAGGATATAAAAAGGACCACACAATAGTCAAAGGGTCTGGAACATTCACGTTCATTCCCCGTGGAATAAAAGTAGCCCACCTCAATTCAAAATTCATTTGAGATGATGTCTGAGAGATTTAAATATGATTTGAATCATGAAAATCAAAAATGTATCTTAGCACGCGTCGGCTTCACAAGGCTCCTTCTCCAAGCTGAATAAGAGACGAACATATCGACATTATGTTGCAAATAGTGCAAAAGAATTTGTCTACTTTAATTCACCCGTAACTCGTGTGTGGCCTTAATAAAAAGAAACACCAAAACAAACACTTAACCCTACAATTAAACTCAGTCAAAACGATGAAGTAGCCTGTTAATCCTGTAAATATTTAAAAGTCCTCAGTGCGGAATGCTGTGAATTGGTTCAAAGAGAATTTGGAAGCACCGCTGCGCACACCTGCATTGGACCAAAATGTGTCCTTTTCGCCTCTTTCCTCAACATCAAAAGTCTTTGTGTTTCTCTCACGAAACGAGCTCCGGGTCAAAGTTTGAGCCAAAAACAACTCTTCTCAGACTTTGCGTAAAGTGAAATAAACGCGACGCTCTGGCTGTGCCCGTAAATCCACAGGTTTCATCGGGACTAGCCACCGTCGTGTAAAGTTTGCACTCACCATTCTGCGCGGAGCCTGGCTCGTCTGAGTTTATGTGCTGCGGCTTGGCTTGCTTGCGTCTCGACATGGTGCAACCATCAGGAGCAAAGAGGGCCAAACTAATTTCCTCCTCTTCTTCAACAAATTCTTGTGCTCTGAAAATGAGCTCCTCAAGTAGAAATGCGCATGTCAGCGTAATTATTATTATCAATAATGCATTGCGATTTATCACGGGGCTCTGACAGCTGATTGGCTCCAGTCCAAGCGCTCACACATTATTCAAATGTGCTCCTATTGATGAGAGCTGCGCGGTGCCAGGAGGGGCGGGCGGAGCGCTGCCACTGGCCAGCCCGGGCCAGAGGGCTGTCCATCGGCTCAGCGGCCTCCCTCCACCCGGGGAACAGGGCGAGATGTGACCAGCCTATCCCAGGGGCCAAAAGGCTACACCTAAATATGTACGAGCGACATTTTACAGCCTACTGATCTTTTGTTTGATAACACTAATAACATTACAGGCTACAAAAATGATGGTGAAATGTTTTAGAAGAGAGTTTGAAATGTGCTCCAAAGATCTCTTAAAGACAATGTGTGCATAAAAAGAGAACAATATAATAGACCCGTGATTTAAAGTTAATGAACAAGTATATAGTGTATTGATCTATCAGAAATGTTTGGATTTAAGCAAAGGAGAAATTCAATTCTGTCAACTGGACAAAAGTAGAATAAGACAAAAGTACCAGTGATTTGTATTTTACTTTTTGAGGCAATGTGAACAATACATTTATGGAATGTGACATAACAAGGAAATACCTTTCAATGAGTCTGCCTATGTACATGAGGTAAAAGGTCAAAAAGGCCAAATATGTGAAAGTTTTTTGAAGCTGTAATAACTTTACACTATACCTGGAAAAACTTCTTCCTCTGACAACATGAGTGCATACTAAATATCCCCACAAAGTTACTTTTCAAACTGTCAAAATTGCCTCATTTGAACATTAAATTCACCGTTTCATACCCCCCACAGAGCAGTGCAGGGACCCCCACTGTCACCACAAGAGCGAAGACAAAAGCTCAGAGCACACACCTCTATTGTGAACTGAACAAAATGTATGAACCAGTGATGTCGGACAGAAGAGAAAAATGATTTGAGTTGTGACAATGGATTGACAAAGTTAAACCCTTACTTCTCCATGGTGATATGTAAATGTTTTAAGCCATATTGTGGAATATTATAGCCAAAGGAACAATATTTCCATGGACACAAGCAGGAGAAGGTCAAATCCCTCCTCCAGGCCAAATAAGAGTCGAGTCAGGTTTGTGGAGACATCATGAAAAAAAAAAAGCTTTATTTTGTTGTTATTTCTGCTATACTTGAGTCATTTCTTGTAATATTCCTGTAACATAAAGCTAACTAAAGTAAACATAAAGCTTTTGTCACTTATAGACGCAATAGTTTGAAACACAAAGGAAAAAATGTCTGTCTTAAATGAGGCAATGTTAATAATTTGAGACAATCTTAAAGGTGCATTGTGTATCTTTTCGGGTGCAGGGCCTGTCAAAAACTTACGTCATGAATGTGTCACAGTTGGTATTAAACTTTTCTGTCTTCACAGAAACCAAACCAGACCAAGTTACAGGTCAGATCTGTGGAGAGGCGACCCTGCTCACAGTCAGAATGCCTGTTTTGTGTTTTTCTAGGTATTTTTGAGCTGTAAAATCACCTGTAATTGAATAAAGGTAAGGCAGAGGTGTTTAATGTCACACTGTGGAACATTCCAGGCAGAGCAATGACATATCCAGAGATTTTTTAGTTTTTTCCCCAAGTAGATGGTTCTGTTGGCAAGTCTTATTTTAAGATTTAAGTCAAAATAGTTTAAATGAAGATAAATACTACTTGATTCAACTTATTATCTTAAAATTGTATTTCTAGTCATGTTAAGATGACTTGAATTAAGAAAGTTTTATCATGATTTGAGCTAATTTCTCTTGACAAGTAAAAATTATCTATACTTTTTTGTAGTTAAAATATGAAAATACAACTTGCTACACTTAAAATAAGAAAAACAACAACTTTTTTGCACTTAAATAAGAAACAAAATGGACTGTTGCATGAATTAAGAAAAACACGCTTCTTCCATTGGTCGATCATTTTACTTGTCAAGCTAATCCAGCTCAAATAAAGGGAAATATTCTCAATTTAAGTCATTTTAACTCACCTAGATATTGTTTTTTTCCAGCGCAGTGTAAGTTTAAAGGTCCTGTTTTACGCAAAACTGACTCTTGTGAGCTGTAAGCCGTGCTATAATGTTGACTATGCAGCGTTTGTTTGTGCATTAAACTATGTGAATGAAACAAAACACAACTCCAGGTCTGTTTGTGACGAAGAAACAACATTATAACATACTGTAGATCAGAAAATAGCATCATAAGAGCCCAAGCATTGCCAAAAATACTCAATTCGAATACTGTCACTGCAAAAATATACGTAGCACATTTCGCAGTAGTTGTACACAGCAGACCCTCACGCCCTCTTACCATTGTATTGCGATAAACAAATGCTTTTTATGGGGCTGGGGTGAAGGTGAAAAGAGGGGAGTGCTGCTGTCTAGACGCTTTATGACCCCCAATAAGAATCTGGGCCTGAATACCGTGTTCTCTCCTACATTCAAACTGCGCACGGCCGTAAAAATACACTTCTGGGAAACCAAATGGCAATAACCAATGAGTCAGAGACATAGTGTGAGATAGAGTCCGGACGGGGGTGCAACTACTGGACTTGTGGTGGGGATTACAGGGCTCATATTACACTATTTTCTGATCTGTGGTATATTGTTGTTTACTGATCATGAACAGACCTGGAGTTGTACTAGTTAGAGAAGTGCAGTGGTTTAATAAATGATCCCAATAATATGACATCAGATATTAAAGGTACAGTACTTTATAATACTTTATGACATTAGTGTGTCAGATTTGTATTTTTCATTGCAATAAAGACAAATAAATGGAAGACCATGCTTATATATATATTTTTTTACAAATAGTTACATACTGTGGCTTTAATAATAATATCTCTTAAATGGTTTTCACTTTTTTAAGATGTGCGCAACTTGTAATGGGCAGAGAGGCCAAAAATGTAGCTAGACTTTGGAGCTGATGTCATCAGTGTTCCCTGTTAGACTTTAATCTGACTTCTGTTTTAACCATAGACTGTGTATATAAATGGACATGGTGTCCGGTCAAGTGGTAACGGAGGGAAACAGGGGCAGATTTTTGACATTTAAATGTCTCTTATTCAGAAACTAGAGGGACTATTGAAATAAGTAAAGTATCAGAATGTAGGAAAGAGTTACACTCCAACAGGGTCAAGTTAAACCTGTGATATTCTTTCAAGTTGTGACAAAAAATTAAAAAACTCATGTCGGTAACGGAGGGAATGAAATATGCAGCACTTTTTGGGCAATAAATCCAAACAGTGATAACTCTTGGTTCTCACTTCCATATCCTTAACAAACTGGTTTGAATATTTGCTTCATATAGTTTTCTACCATATGGTACAAGATTAGGTTGAAAAACCTCTTACTTTTTGACTCATGAGATTTTTTATTAAGAAAGGTCATGGTAACAGGAGGGAAAAGTAACGGAGGGAAAATTGTGCAAACAAGTAGAAGGTGCAGGATTTTACATCATTTGTCGCTTTTTTCTTCTGAATACTTTAATATTACTTCAAAATGAAAGGAAACTATTTCTATAAAATACGTCAGTCCTTCCAAGTAAATTTTTATCATGTTAAATAATTTTTCTTTTTAAATCCTGTACCTTCATCAACAGTTCAAAGATGGAATAACACAAGATATGATGAAATACATCCATTTATTGACATGATTTGCAGGTCTTTGAAATTTGGGAAATAATTTTTGTTCCATGTTTCATACATGGTCTGTTTAAAACGTATGGAACTTTAGAACCAAAAATGGTCCAGAAAAAAGGTCAACAGTTTCATAAACTAGAGTACATATGTATCTGTTCAATACATTTTTATATCAGATGCATTAACTTGAATTTTTGGCCTTGCTGTTTACTTCTGCTTGACCGAGCCCACATAACTAACACAAATAGGAAGTTTGCATGGGGGCTCTTCCAGCTCCTTCTGACCCTGGCCCCATTGACTTACCTTGGAATATTGTCGCCCCCTCTCTCTCTAACTGCTGCTGTGAACCTCGTCATTTTGGTCTTAAAATGTTTGTATTAATCCACTCTACATGATCCTGGGGTTTGTATTTCACTGTTTTGTCTCTTTAAAAATGTATAAACATTGATGAACATTCTACTATAGAGATATATGTAGAACACCCCCAGTGTGATGTCTCTGCAAACAGTGTTGTGAAGGTGACTTTTAAAATGTAATCCCCTACAGATTACAGATTACATACCCCAAAATGTAGTTTGTAATGTAATCTATTAAATTACTTAAAGTGAGTAATGTAACCTGAATACTTTGGATGACTTGATTTGTTGTAGAGAAGCAAAGATGAGGAAATTTTAACAGAAGATGTCTTCTCTGATAAAAGAAAATAAAAAGCTCAGACTTTACTTAAACATATTAAAAATATTATTGATAGAAGACGAGGAGACACATCCACACAGCACGATTTAGTCCTGGTTTAGTCCTGTTTTAGTCCTGTTTTAGTCCTAGTTTTAGTCCTAGTTTTAGTCCTGTTTTAGTCCTGGTTTAGTCCTGTTTTAGTCCTGTTTTAGTCCTAGTTTTAGTCCTGTTTTAGTCCTAGTTTTAGTCCTGTTTTAGTCCTGGTTTTAGTCCTGTTTTAATCCTAGGTTTAGTCCTGTTTTAGTCATAGTTTTAGTCCTGTTTTAGTCCTGTTATAGTCCTAGTTTTAGTCCTGTTTTAGTCCTAGTTTTAGTCCTGTTTTAGTCCTGTTTTATTCCTAGTTTTAGTCTTGTTTTAGTCATAGTTTTTTGTCCTGTTTTCATCCTGTTTTAGTCCTGTTGTAGTCCTGGTTTTAGTCTTGGCTCAGTCCTAGTTTTAGTCCTGTTTTAGTCCTAGGTTTTAGTCCTGTTTTAGTCCTGTTTTAGTCCTGTTTTAGTCCTGTTTTAGTCCTGGTTTTAGTCTTGGTTTAGTCCTGGTTTTAGTCCTATTTTAGTCCTGTTTTAGTCCTGGTTTAATCC